AGGCTATGTGCTATTAATTCTCAACATTTTCATGAAAGCAAAATAAATAGTAAAAACTAAACAAAGATGTTCATCTAGAAAGAGAGGACAACATCTGAGAGATCTTAAGGTTTACTTGTGTCTTGAATGTTTACGTCAGTAGCCTTTGATTGCTTGATGATGCAGATATAACTATAGATATGGAAGTATATATAAGAACAAAAAAGCATGTGGATAAATTCTGAATTTTATATTAAATTAGGGTATGACAATTACACTTTCATGGGCATTAACCAAAAGAAGTTGGTGATGGGAGTTCCATGGTATGGATATGATTATCCTTGTCAAAATTTATCAAAGGTAAGAGTAAAACGGATGACTTATTTATTCTTCATTAACTCTGGGGTTTACTTTACTTGAGTAATAATCCTTCTTAAAATGTTAATATAGATCAGGGGTCTTCAAACTTGACAGCTTTAAGACTTATGGACTTCACCTCCCAGAATTCCTGTCAACTCTGGGATTCATCGTTGCCATAGGGTTCTGGAGGGAGGAAGTGATGTACTGAATAGTTCTTAGGGAAAAAAAATTATTATGAATTATTAGTTCAAGGTCACAGAGAGTGGCATAGCAAAGAATTGAGAATGCAGATCACTGGCTCATGTGATTGATGAGGTGTGAAAAAGGGGGTGGAGGTAGGTGGAATTTTGTGGGATGAGCTGGTAGGATTCCAGTACTGAAATTCCACTGGGTGATACCAGTCCTTTTTTTTTTGTTTTGAATAAATCACTTTGAGAATATGTCAGTCTTGGAGTTAATGTTTCAAAGGAAGGATTGCTGGAAGTCTGACATCCTCCACCAGTCATGTTAGCTCAGGCATTCTGGGAGTTGAAGTCCACAAGTCTTAAACTTGCCAAGTCTGAAGACCCTTGATATAGATTCATAACAAAAATTGTACTTTTTCAGACTCATGAGTGCATCATTGAAGAAATCCCTTTCCGGGGAGCTCCATGTAGTGATGCTGCAGGACGTCAGGTTCCATATAAAACAATAATGTCTCAAGTGAATAGTTCTCTTTCTGGGATTCTGTGGGATGAGGAGCAGAAAGCACCATATTTGGAATATAAGGTAAATTGTTTATTTATTTATTTGGAAGATTATTTTAATTAGTTTATTACATCAAACAGATAACATAGCTATGGGGTTCTTTTTGTAAATTTTATTTGAGTTTTCACAAAGAGAAAAAAAATTCAAATAAAACATCTTTTTTGAAAGTAGCGTAATCCCGGAAAGTAGCGTAATTTCTTCATAAAGACACAAATTCAGGTTCATGCTCATTTTTATATTCTATTCCATATCTTATTACTATTTTACATTTTCTGCATAGCTTCTCCCCTCTTTTAATTTTCTTAATTTTATTTTAATTATCTCATCTCAATTCAAATCATTGTATTTGTATTTTTTGTCTGTCCTGTTTCAATTATCTATTATCTTTTCTCATTAAACAAAATTTCTCCTGTAGTTACTGATTGGAGTATGACGCCTTTATATCTTTTCCCTAAAGTTGTAACATAGCTATGTTGATTCATTGTTTCGGAGGGAATTCCCCAAATAAAAGTACTGCATTACTTTTATTAGGACCAATATAACAAAGTCACGAGGAAGCTTCAGATCAAATCCAGCAGCAACATGTGTAGAAATTAAACGGCTTACAATAAAGGAAAGAAAGAGTAAGGGGAAGGGGAAGAACAGGAAGGGAAGGGAAACCATGGAGATGATATGAGTAATCTTTCCTGGAGTTGGGGACGGAATCCAAATTATTCAGCTTCATTAAACTCACTGGGTGATCTCATCCAATAATTTGGAATATGTTTAGCGAATATTGATTTTCATATTTCATTTGCAGAAAGGTGGCTGGTGAGCTGAAGGGCCAAGGTGAAAAGAACATAAGCTAACATATTTGTTAATATTTTTGCTGTTACATTCTCCTATCTTACAGGATTCAGGTGATGTTTTTCATCAAGTATGGTTTGATGATCCCAGGAGTATTTCTCAGAAAGCTGCCTATGTGAAAAAACATGGCCTGAGGGGCATTGGAATGTGGAATGCAAATTGTCTTGAATATTCTGGGAGTTTTGAAACAAAGCAACAGACAGAAGCAATGTGGGATGCCTTGATGCCAAAATAATGTGTGTGTGTACACTGCCATTTTAAATTTAATGGTTTGAATTATGCACCATTTGAGTTTTAATTACACTATATTACACTTAATCTGTCTTCAGACCCCCTTCACTTTTGTCAATTTTGTTATGCTTCACCTTGTTTCTGCAGTTATTGAAATTCATTTTTTCTCATTAATCTATACTCAATACCCATAATAAAGTGAAAACAGAATTTTAGAAATGTCTGTAAATTTATTTAAAAAGAAAAAAACTGAAACATCAAATTGACATAAATATTTACTCAGTACTTTGTTGAAGCACCTTTGGCAGCAATACAGCCTCGAGTCTTTTGGGGTATGATACAATAAGCTTTACACACCAGGACTGAGGAATGTTCTGCCATTCTTCCTTGCAGATCCTCTCAAATTCAGTCAGGTTGGATGGCGACCATAGTGAACAACCATTTGCAGGTTCCCCCAGAGATGTTCAGTAGGGTTCAAATCTAGGCTCTGGCTGGGTCACTCTAGGACAGTTACAGTGTTGTTCCTAACCTACTCCTGTATTGTCTTGGCTGTGTCCTTAGGATCGTTGTCATGTTGGAAAGTGAACCTTCGCCTCAGTCTGAGGTCCTGAGCACTGTGGAACAGGTTTTCATTGAGGATATCACTGTACTTTGCTCCATTCAGTTTTCTCTCAACCCTGACCAGTCTCCCAGTCCCTGCTGCTGAAAAACACCCCCAAAGAATGATGCTGTCACCGCCATGCTTCACTGTTGGGATGGTATTGTACAGGTGATGAGCGGTGCCTGGTTTCCTCCAGGCATAACATTTAGAATTTAGGCTAAACAGTTCAATCTTGGTTTTGTCAGACCAGAGAATCTTGTTCTTTGCAGTCTGAGAGTCCTTCAGGTACTTTCTTGCAAACTCCAAACAGGTTTTCATGTGTTTGGCATCGAAGAGAGGCTTCTGTCTAGTCATTGCCATAAAGCCCCAATTGATGGAGCACTGCAGTGATGAATGTCCTTCTGGAACTCTAACCCATCTCCACGCAGGATTTCTGGAGCTCAGTGAGAGTGACCATTGGGTTCTTGGTCACCTCTCTTACTCTAAAGCCCTTCTCTCTCAATTGCTCAGTTTGACCAGGTAACCAGCTCTTGGAAGAGTCCTGGTTGTGCCAAACATCTTCCATTTGAAAATTATCTTACTAGGGTTTTATAAAACAGCACCAGTACTTCACGTGATCTTGATCCTTTATTAAACTTTAGCTGTGAATTTGGCTATAGCATGCAATCATAAATGGGTTTATTTTGGGTTAGCTAGGCCCACTACATCAGGGTTCCAGTATTCTAACCAGTAGCACAGAGTTTTCTGAATCAATTTGCTGCCACCTAGCCGTGCCTCAAAATGTTGGTAGATACTGGACAAGTAGCCCAGATTCTTTCAAATTCACCAGAACCTAGGTCCAGTTAAGTTCATGGGGCTTTGCGGTGCTGGCAATATTGGTTCAGATTATGTGAACTGCAAGGTTATTTGGTTAACAATACATTAAAGCCCAGGCGCCTTTGTTACTTGTGAGCATTTATCACCTTTACTCTTTTCAAGGATTAAAAAAGTGTGTGGGGGGGTGGGGGGCGGGGGGATCAATGCAGGATTCTCAAACGCTCGAAGCGAATTGGCCCATCTCACCTTCCCTAGCTGATTTCAGAGGTGGGGATGGTGGGCGGGGTGGGGAGGACAAGAATAACCACCGTAACTAAGGTCACCGATTCCAAGCGGGAAAATCTCCGATGAAGCGGTTGCTAGGCTGCGGGGGCGCGCTCCCCTGCCTCGCGCTCCTCCTCCGCCATTGGCACTTGGGCTCCAGCGCGTGCCCGTGCGAGCAACCTGCCCTTTGCAAACCTATCTCGAGTCAGCGCGACTTCGAGGTGCGCAGGTGGCGCGCTCTTCTCAAACGGGGCAGGGGTGGAGAGACACGTGTTACTGCGATCGGTGCTGTCCGGTCTTCCTTCTTTCTTAAGCTCGCTAAATAGGTTGCCTTGCACTCCGCTTGATGTTTCTGAGCGGCCCCTTTAAAAAATGCCAAAGTGCATCAGCGGAGACCCCCGCGACTGCTTTGTCTCCCTGCCCTTTGAAGTAGCTCGGGGTGTTCTGAACAACGTGGGTAAAGTTACTTGAGGATCTAGCACAGCAATCTGCTGAGCTTCGTTGGCATTAAACCTGGTCAGGTATTTTGTGTTGTGGCTTAGTGAATCATTGGAGCCTGATTTCTTTGGTGGCTATGTGGTTCCGGACCATTGTTTGAAGCTAAATAATGTATGTTTATGTAGAGTTCGGGTTATATATTTCAGGGCGACCAGTGCTAAATCTCTAGACTTTGGGCAGGTGAAAAAGCTCCATACTTGAAAACTGGCAAAGGACTGAATCTGAAATCTGTATTCAAAATTAGGGATTGCAGCTCTCCTACTTCATTTAGGACTGATAGATTATGGAAGGTATAAGGGCCTTGTTGGTGAGGAATGGAGGATAGAGGCAATCTTAATGATGGTACAACTCATATATTCCACTTTTTAAGTGGATAAAGCCTCTTATAATAAAATGCTGGTGTGGTGGCACAATTGTGGCAAAAGAAGTCATACTAAACATATCTTAGAATCTTTGTTATTAGCAATTTAAAGCCATTTTAAAAGTTGCCACTCTATATTTTATGAATTGAAAAATGCAGTTTTATATTTGATCAAGATTATTATTATTATGGAATGCATTAATTAAGGAATATGCCTGCCCTACCAGATCTAATTCTAATGTTAAAAAAATTAACATGTCAAGAAAGGGAGATTATTTTTTTGCTGTGCCTTTCTAGGTCTTTGTATTTGATGTTGGTGGGAAGACCTGGAAATTTTATGATTGGACACAAATTACAACAGTGGCAACTTTTGGAGACCATGACCCCGAGCTTATATGTTATGCTCATTCAAAAGGATCCAGGGTTGTTTTAAAAGGTTTGTTTTATGCAGAATAACATAAATTGTTAACAATTACATTTTATGCAGTTTGCTGTAGGGTTCTGAAGTCAATTAACTTTATTCCTTGGACATGTGCATAATTATAACCCATAGTAATTATTCCAAAATGATGTTATACTCATTACAAGTTTATAGTGACTGCCATCAGTTTCCAGATAGCTCATGTTCTTCATTATGTGAAACTTCCCCCCCCCCCCAATAAATGGAAGGTATATTGACTGAAATACCTTAGGAATCTATTCTAAAACATCCCACTAGTTTTTGAGTAAGTTTTGTCAAACAGATGTCGTTTTGGGTTGGCTGTCACCAAGCCAGTCTGTTCATAAATAATATTAAACTGCTCCGCCTCACATGATAGTTCAAAACACAGCTGAAGTGAGTCCACATTTGGAATACTATATCCATTGCTGTCATCGTATACAAAAACAGATAATGAGATTCTGAAAAGTGTGCAGAGAAGAGAAACAAAGGTGATAAAGGGTATGGAGGTTAAATTGTATGATGAATGGGTTGAAACCTAGGTATATTTTGCCTATCGAAGAGAAGGATCAGGGTGGACATGATAACTGTCTCCCAGTACTTGATGAGCTATCACAAAGAAGAGGAGATTGACTTATTCTCTAGGACGCCACGGGGCAGGAGAAGAAGTAGTGGGTGGAAGCTTGTTCAAGAGAGGCACAACCTAGAAGTAAGGAGAAATTCTGACAGTAAGAACAATTAATCAGTGCTAATTTTAAATGAATTAAATGTACATGGCTATTGGTGATATGCATATGGTAATGAATGTTACCATTTGGAACATCAATGTTGATTATAGTTGTAGTACAAACTGTATATTTTATTTTGAATCATTTTTCCATACTTTGCCCCAGAAAAACAATTTCAGATAATTCATTTAGGGAGAAATGGAACTGAATTAATATAGCTGTAATCTAAAACTCACAGTCCATGTCTGTTCTCTGTCCCTTCCCCCCACCCCTTCCTGGGTGATCTCCTTTTAAAATTTCTTTTAGTGATGCAAACCTAATGCCAGCTAATTGTTATGTATTGTTTAGGAAATATATCTGTGAAGAAAATTTTAAAACCTGCTGTTCGAATAGCCTGGATAAAACAAAATATTGACCTGGCTAAAAAGCAATACATGGATGGAATCAATATAGACATTGAACAAGCAGTTAAAAAATCCTCAGCTGAATATTATGCATTAACTGCTTTAGTTAAAGAAACAACAGAAGTTTTTCACAAAGAAATTCCTGGTTCTCAGGTAAACTAGAAGGAAAGATTATGGTTTACATTAAATTCTCCATTTAGTCAGCCCTCAGACTTTTAACACGTGAGTTTCTTTTGACAGTATTTACTATTATGAGCACACATTTTAGTGCTGCATATTTGTTGATGCAAATATATTGTCAAATCAAGTATCAACACAACTAAGGGCTTTTGTTCACTGACACCTAACTACAGCATGGGAATCTCTTTTTTCACTATGTTGCCCTGACATTCTCCTTCATCTTCAAGTGAATCTACGTGAATCTTTTGAAAGATGCTATTTTTTAAAAGATATTTTTGGCATTTCTAGTGTTCAAGTAATGTTTTCCCCTTAAGTAGACAACAAACATACAGTTTCACCATGGGTATCATCTGTTGTGCTTCACTGGCCATTTTGTTGTTGGAATCGCCATTGAGTGTCTCAATACTCAAAGTTGGCCACTTCAGACTGGAGTAAGGACATTTCATCTGTGTCAAGCATTGGTCTCTGTCCTGCTTTCAGCAGCAAAAGAGCTTGGTTCTTTCAAACCTGTCTCTCTCCCTATACTTGCCTAATTCCAAACTGATCACTGGCTCAAGAACAGCCATAGCTTCTTAGTACAGTCTACCCATTGAACCTATTAGTCATTGTTTGGGATTTTAAACATGGCCACAATTCTATCTTAAATCCCACACTAGCAGCTGCTCTTGGAACTATTCCAACCATGCTCATTGTTAATCATGAGATGTGCTGCTGGATAACAGCTTTAGCTGGTTTCAAGAAAGGATCAAATCAATTCCAGGAAATCATGGTGATGCATGGCTACTAGCTTTGATGGCAGTATAATTGTGAGACAGCCAGCTGCTGGCAGACTAGTGGGTTTCATGTGTAGTTAGTTGACCACTGTGACAATAGACTGCTGGACAAGATGAGCCTAGGGTCCCATCCAACAGGGCACCGCTTAGGTTCTTAGGATCCAGGCCTCTAAACTGGAGATTGCCTGTTGGATAAAGGTCTCCCTTCTCCCTGCCTGGCCAGTTGTTACACAAGAAAAAGGAGGGAGATAAAGCCAAAGCAAGTTTCGACTGATGGCTAAACTTGTAAGCATGGCTTAACTATCAGTGAAAACCATCAACAATCACAATTGTGTTGTGACTGACAGATGAATTTTCTGCTGGTTTGGGAAAGGTGGGAGGGTAGAGACCAGTGATATGTGAGAAATGTAGACATCCACCTAATAACTGCAACCCAGAACAAAGGAATTGGGATTGTAATAGGAACAGTACAATCTGTTCTGGTTTAGTTTTCGGCTGGCTCATTGATAGGAGAGCATTTTAATTGAACCATGATGAAGAATAGAAAGGTGACTAATAATAGAGTCACACTAAAACAAAATAATTATATTTTGGGAGGCCACAGGAATCTGGATTTTAATTTTCAGAATGAAATATTCTACCCTTTGTAATTACATACAAGACATTTTACAAATAGTCATAAAATTAAAATTAAGCTAGTAGCAGGAAAACAGTGTAAATACCCTGTTTTCTCTAAAAATATAAGGGAAAAAGAATATTTTACATGGCATTTGAAAGATACAGTTGAGATATATATTAAGCCTGTCCCTTTCTTCTAATTTGGAACACCATGGTATAGCTTGCTTTTTTTGGCTATTCGGTGCTAATGCAACATGTTGTGAGAATGGAATCCAATAAATTCACATACAGGTAGTCCTCAACGTATGACTGTTCATTGAATGATCGTTCAAAATTATAACAGATTCCCCCCAAAGCTTTTTTCTGACCTGATTTCAAAGTTATGATGGCTGCATTCCCCCACAGTCATTTTGGAGGCTTGGCAATTGGCTTACTTTTATGGCTATTAGCAATTCTCACAGTCATGTGACTATGGTTTTTGACAGGTTTTTTTGCTGGTTTACTTCTGATTTCCAGCAAAAAAAACCCTCTCATATAAAATGGATTTGCTTAGCAACCACAGCAAAAAATTGAGAAAACTTGGTCTAATTGCATGATGCCTCATTGTATGACTGCAGTGATTAATAATTGTAATTAGAGGCTCAACTATGAGGCTCAACTATGTTAATGAAGGACTATGTGGCAACTAAAGATTAGCATATAGCTTTTCTGTACCAATCAAATATTAATGCCACTGAGTGCTCTTAACCAAACCAAGGATTGTATTTAAAGGATAACACATACATACAATTTATTTTTAAAATTTCCATATAAACTGTCTTAAATTTACCTTGAAGGTACCTTGGTACCTTGAAATTAACAGACTTAAAATTGTCTGCCTTTGAATTTGAGCTGCATAGAAAATAGAGCTGGTGTGGAGCAGAATGCAAAATTAGATTCTCAGCTTCCTTAATTGCACTGATAATAAGATTATGGTTGAAAAATATATGCACAGTCTTTTCTGGTCAAATTATTGCTTTGGATAATTTTTTTTAATATTTATCACTCATTGCGAACTATACTAACACCCCATTTCCCCAAAAATAAGACCTATCCTGAAAATAAGACATTTTACACATGCAATATAAGTCCTACCCCCAAAATAAACCCTACTTAAAAGCCCGTGCAGCTGGGCCACCTTCCCATTTCGTCTGGTTGCTCACAGTGCTGCGGCCACTAGGCAAGGTGGTGAAGCTATCCCACGTGCTCTGCATTGGCTTACCTCAGGGCCTCTGTAGTCAGGTTATCTATGCTCTGACACCTGCCTCGTGGCAGGAGCACCAGCAGCCATGTGCAGCAGGAGCTCACCTGTCCGCCGGGCCTTCTGCTTGCTCACGGCTGCAACAGAGCAGGAGAATGAGCTGTGTGCTGGTACCATGGCCACAAGGCGAGTCAGGTGTAGGGCCTGGATAGCCTAGCTATCAGGGCTCTGAGGGAAGCTGGTGCAGGGCGCATGGGGCCCTGGAATGCTGTGCGGCCTCCTGCCCCACCGTGAGCAAGCAGAAGTGGGCTTCTTGTACAGTACATGGGGAAAAATACCGCCCAAAAGAAAATAAGATCTGGTCTTGTTTTCGGGGAAACACAAGTATATTCAAATTCCCAAATCAAATGAACAATGTTAATGTAAAGAATGTATAATTCAAAGTTTCTTCATATTGTACAGCAGAGCTGTACAAGTTTTGAAAAATAACAAGATGGGTCAGAATTTAATGACCAAACATCCCCCCAGATGCAGCTACTTTAAGGAAGTGCTGTGCCTGCACTTTGAATATTCTAAGGTATCTCTTCCAATCATTTTCAAAGCATACATATCACTATTATGTAGCTTAATCAAATATGTGTAGATTTGTTTTAACTACATTTTAGGCAACTGCACATTTTGCAATAAACTATGGAAGACATGAAATTGTTCCAGCACACCTTGACTCATACTCAAAGGAGTATACTCCTTTGGAGTTTACTAATTAAATCCCTGTTACTCAGCTCTGTTACTCAGTGTGTGTGCCAGGTGTGTGCATTTTAGTGTTCCCAGAATCCTCAGTAATGACTGCGAACCAGTCTTTTTCAGCTTTAACTTTAAGATGTGTGGACTTCAACTCCCAAAACTCCAGTTGAAGTCCACACATTAAAGTAATAACTAGCAGTCAGCACAGATTTGTTAAAAACAGATCATGCCAAACCAATCTTATTTCATTCTTCAACACAGTGACTAAATTAGTAGATCAGCAAAATACTGTGGACATAATATATTTAGATTTCAGCAAGGCAATCGATAAAGTAGACCACAACCTACTTCTTAGTAAGCTAGAAAAAAGTGGAATAGATGGCACCACCACTAGATGGTTTCGCAACTGGCTGGGAAACCGTACTCAACGAGTAGTCCTTAATGGGTCTAAGTCTACATGGAGGGAAGTAAGCAGTGGGGTGTCACAAGGTTCTACTACTCTTCAATATCTTCATTAACGACTTAGATGAGGGAATAGAAGGGGAACTTACTAAATTTGCAGATGATACTAAGCTGGCAGGAATAGCTAACGCCCAAGAAGATAGGCTCAAGATCCAGATGGATCTTGACAAACTAAAACACGGCCGTATCTAACAAAATGAAATTCACTGTAGAGAAAAGTAAAGTCCTACACTTAGGCAAGAAAAAACAAAAGTACACATATAGACTGGGTGAATCCAGGCTCAATAGCAGTAACTGTGAGAGGGATCTTGGAGTGGACAACCAGCTAAATATGAGGCAGCAGTGTGCAGCAGCTGCCAAAAAAGCTAATGCAATCCTAAGTTGTATAACAGAGGGATACAGTCAAGATCAAGGGAAGTACTAATACCACTCTATAAAGCCTTAGTAAGACCACACCTAGAGTACTGCATCCAGTTTTGCTCACCACATTATAAAAAAGACATTGAGACTCTAGAAAAAGTACAGAGAAGAGCAACCAGGATGATTAGGGGACTGGAGGCTAAAACATACAATGAACGGTTGCAGGAACTGGGCTTGGCTAGTCTAGTAAAGAGAAGGACCAGGGGAGACATGATAGCGGTCTTCCCATATTTGAGGGGCTGCCACAGGGAGGAAGGGGTCAAGTTATTTTCTAAAGCGCCTGTAGGCCAGACAAGGAATAATGGATGGAAACTGAACAAGGAGAGATTTAACTTGGAAACAAGGAGAAACTTTCTGACAGAACAATCAGCCAATGGAACAGCTTGCCCTCCGAAGTTGTGGGAGCACCATCAATTGAGACTTTCAAGAAGAGATTGGACTGCCATTTGTCAGAAAATGTCCCACTTGGGCGGCGGGTTGGACCAGATGACCTACAAGGTCCCTTCCAACTCTGATTATCTGTATCTGTATCTTAAAGTTACTAGGCTTGAGAAACTGGTGTGGATTAAGGAATTTTAGGATTTGTTCCACTTGGTTACAGATTTTCCAGATTGGGGAATAGTTTTATTCTCAAACACTTTGATACAATAATTCTAGAACAGATTAGTTAGATTACTACCACGGTATTAAAAAGAGTTTCGGTTATAAGGTTTACTAAAATTATAGGGCAGCTAGCTTCCACTGAACGTATGAGATGCATTTAGATTTTGTTGATGAGCCATGCCACAGCAATCTATCCCTAATGCTTTTTTAACCTTGCATCTTTTCCCCACAGTTTTTATCATTTTGTATGGCTCCCAACTTAAGACAACTAAGGTTTCTCTTTGTGCTGGGTTGGGAAATGCAAGTTGGAAGATTAACAGGGAGCAGATGTCCACAGGACCAAAAGCAGTGTAATTGATGTAGGTTATAATCCATAGGCGATTCTTGATTTATTATTGGATCTGTGAATGTACGGTAGAACTTACAGATAAACGGAGGTTTCCTTGATTTTCATTCCTACACTCTTATAAAATAGATTCGGTTGAGAGAAACTGACTGTTGAACTCACTAGTGAGCCTTTGAATCAGATAGGTTTGAGGGTTTGTTCTCTTTAGCCCGTGTTTAGCACTTATTTTCCCCCCTCCAAAGTTCATAAAATATACATAAAAATCAAACCTAATCAGAAGGTTTGCAAGCTTTACATATAAACCTGCGTAAAGGATGCTTATTCACAGTCAAATCTGTATAGCAATCTTGTGGGAGGAAAACCCAAATAGACAGTATACCAACTATAAAGAACTGATTTTTTCAAAGAGCAGGATGTGATAAATGAGACAGCCACGTATTCTGTGAAATATAGGTTGCAGATGGAGAGTCTGTGAGGTTTAATTGGATATACATTTTTGAACTCTTCAGAGTTCAAAAAAACACTTATATTCTACGTGCTATAAAACAGAATTTTATCACAAAATGTTTCCAAAAGAAATAGCCCGTCTTTATTCTTTTTAAAATACAACTTGCAACCCTAACTGGGATTGGAATTTCCATTACTAAGCAAGGCAGCTGTTAGCTGTGTTGTGCCCGATTTTATGCTCTTTTTTTTGCCATGGTTGCTAAGTGAATCACTGCGGTTAAGTGAATCATGCAGTCGTTAAGCAAATCTGATTAGTGTTTCTAGTTGTTTATCAAAAGGGAAACTTGACTGAAAGGAAATTTTATCTAACCCTTCTTTGTATACATTAGAAATGATTAGCAAGGAAAAGAGATGTACTGCTTGTGCTTTTTTAAAGACAAAACTGCGCCAATGTTGTGTTTTTCTTTCTCTGCAGGTAACTTTTGATGTGCCTTGGTCTCCTGAATGTATAGATGGTAGATGTTACAACTATACCGGAATTGCTGACTCCTGTGATTTTCTGTTTGTGATGTCTTATGATGAACAGAGTCCATTGTGGTCCAACTGCATAGCAGGGGCCAATGCCCCTTACAAACAAACTTTATTGGGTAGGAATCAGCTTCTTCAAAATATAAAGTATAATTAGCTTCTTTAGTTCAGGAAAAAACATAAAGACTGGGTCTTCGTATAAGATGCCATAATGGATTGAGTCAAAATCAGCCCTTAGCCCAACAAACTCTCTGCAACCAGTTTCCAAGCTTGGATCACACTATACTCCAAAACCTAGGCTACTTCTAGTTTCAGTTTCCAGCCTAGGCTATTTCTAGTTTCAGTTTCCAAACAGTCCTCATTTGCTGATTTAGTTGCTATGCCTATTCATTGGCTAACTTTGTTACCATGCTCTATTCCAGTTCATGAATATACTTTGACACAATTTCATGGCAGAAGGCATTAGGGGGAAAAAGGGTGCTGAGTATGCGTGGACAATCCTAAAACATGGCTGTTGAGCTCTGAGTCTGAAAATGAAACTGCTTCTCTCCTCTGCTGTGTATCTTGCTTACCTGCTGAACTAAAGTGAAACTGGTATCTGTTTCTGAGCTCCTGATTTGCTGCTGAAGCTTTGAACTTGTAGCATATCTACTTCTGTTTGAGTTTGCTCCACTGGAGTAATCTACAACTGGTTTGTAAAATTTACTTCATATCTTTATAAAGAAGTTAAATGATGCCTCAGCCATCTGTGTTTACTTTTCTGGTGCTAAATTTACGCTGCAAAACTCTGAACAAATCGTGCTTATCTTTTCTATATTGAAATCCAAGATATATACTAGATTACAAACAGTTTTAGCTTTCCTAAGTTTCAAGAATTCCAGCTCTCCCAAATTTTCCACTAATCCCACTTTGTATACTTCAAGTTTCCGGTTGATTAGTATCAATTCAGGAGTGGCTTATGCCTTCTCTTCCTCTCTTAATACAAGAATTTAGCTGGTTGTGGCAGGTGTTCCATTAACAAAAGCCCAGCTAATGCTTTGGGCAGGGAGAGCATGAAAAATCACATCATATCTCATAGGACAATCAGTTGTGATTTGGGAGACCTGAATGTTTATACCCCTTTCCTGTGAGAAGTGATTTTCAAATTCCTGCCCTTTAGATAATTATTATCAGTTGAAGAGGAATTTTTATCTTCTGCTAATTTGTTAAAGAGTCTTGGTGAGGAATTTTGTCAAAGGCTTTTTGAAAATCAAAACGAACTTACCTGTTTTTAATTTTCTTGTTTGTAGAATGCAGAGTACTACAATCATTCTTTTGTAAGAGTTGGGAGGCCAGAGTTTAGTAAATGGATTAATAGGAATCTTAATTGTGTACAATCATTCTCTGACATCTTTAAATCTATTAACATCTCTTTTCTCCATGAATAAATATAAACATAAATTATATAAATTAAATGTGAAATTCAAGAACAAAATGATATATGAAAAAACCCTCTGTTGGTTTAGTTTTACTTTAAATGTCTATTTTAATGACTTTTTTGTCTCGTTGATATTACAAATGCAGATACCTGAATACATTTATATATTAAATCAGGTTATTACCAGTATATTCGCATGGGCATTAATCCAAAGAAACTGGTGATGGGTGTGCCATGGTTCGGCTATGATTATATATGCTCAAATTTATATAAGGTAGGAGAAAAACAGTTCATTTTTATGGTTTTGTGGGCATGAATTTCACCTCAGGACTATTAAGTCAAACAATGTTAATAACCAGTTGGTCATTTATTAAAGTATTTGCTTTAGTTTCTCTCATTCTAAAATTTTCTTAAAAGAGCTGTTGTATTTAAGCAGAAAACCACAAGAGAATGCTCCAGAATTAACCAGTGGGGTGGAGTGGGAAAGAGAAATAAAATCTTAAAAGAAGGAAGAATTGTTAGAAGAGAGCGGCATGGATTTTTTTTCTTCCTATTATATATTCAACAAAAAGGGCCACCACTAAAAGAAAGAAATCCTGTAAAATGAGATGTGTGGACTTCAGCTCCCAGCTGGCTGGGGAATTCTGGGAGTTAAAATACACACATCTTAAAGTTGCCAAGTTTGAAAAATACTGATCTAAAATGACATGGATTTTCTTCTGGAGAAAATAAGAGAAAAATCCCAGTGACGCTGGCTATATCCACATTCAGGCAGCATAAATGCTCCCATAGAAATGATTCAAACACTGCCGAATAAAAGGCTAAAGTGACTGAAGGAACCTAATCAATGTTTGAAACTCTGCTTAGGTTGCAGTCTGAAGCATGTGGTTTTGGAATCAGTAAAACCCATTCTGAGGTAACATTGAAAGGCCTGAAGTTCCCTTGTCTTAAATTATGATTATTCTTCAAAATCCCTGTCTTTTATAATAAAGCACCCAAACTTAATCACCTAATTTTGGAAACTGAGATTTTCTCCTGCATGAGACAAATAAGAATTTATAAAGAGAAGGTTTGCAGTGCCCCTTATTTGAGAAATGAATGTGTGAATGAATAACAGAACCCTTTTGAATTTTACCATAACTACATAATGGAAATTACCCTTTTTTTTTTCAGGATCACGTTTGCTTCTTTGCAAAGAATGTTTTCCCAGGGGCTCTGTGCAATAATGTCATAAGACAAATCCCATATAGAATCATCATGACATTGGAGAAGACTTCTACTTCTGGCATCCTGTGGGATGAGGAACAAAAAGCTCCTTTTTTAGAGTACAAGGTAAGTTGTTCTAAAGATTCCTTTGCATTCCACGGAAAATGCATATTTATAAAAGACATTAAACAACAAAAATATATCAGTACAAAATTTAATGTATTTTCCCTGCTGCAGCTGACTTTCTTTTGTACTCTGCAAGTTTTCTATTTAGATTTTAAAATTCCCACTAATCTTATGGCTTTTATGCACACACACACACAAAAGGAAAGGTTACGTAAGAATTGTGAACAATAGATTACAACTCAGGAAAGAATGATGGAATGTAGAGGATAAGAAATGGATAATTTTTAATTAAAAAAACATGGAGACAAATATAGTCATGCCAAGATCTCCACAGTCTCTAGTATAATTACATTTTAATTCCTCTTACAGCAGGGGTGGGATTCAACTGGTGTTACTACTGGTTTGGTAACTATGCGCGTGTGTAAAAATCTTAAGCTGTGCTGCCCGGACAGCTGAAAAGCACTGCGCGCAGGTGCGCAGCATTTGAAAAGCCACTTTTTTCCTGCTTTTTCAACCTCCGCTGTCCTGCACAAAGCAGCTGAGGTTGAAAAAGCAGGAAATAAAGGACAGGAAAGAGCCCAGGCGGGCGGGTGGGCCAAACAGCAGGAAACACACAACCGATTTGGTGTCTGCTGTTCTTTAGAGCTACTGGTTCTATAGAGCCGGGCAGAACCGGTAGCATCCCACCCCTGTCTTACAGCCAATTTTATCAGTGGCCTTAACTAAAGGAGTTAGGGTTATTCGTGAAAGAAATATTAGTGCATCCTGTTCAAAGACACATTCAGGTCCATATGCTTGGCTGAGTGAATTGGTTAACTGGAAAATGTTTTAAAAATTACATTATGCAAGTTCATTAAAAATTATCTTGTTCTTCAGACTATAAACTGAAGCTATTGTTCATAGATTGTTTAATAATTTATTGTATAATTTCAGAAAATTCTTTATACAACAGTTTTTATTCAGCCTGCCTTCAAGATGAAACTATGAAAATGCTTATTATGTTCATTTTATAGAGAGCAAAATCAGACTGATGGAAAGTGATCCAGTATAAAAGTGTTGAATAAAATGATTGGATGAATTTGTGTCACTATAATCAAGACATTGTGTAGCAATTTTCTCTTTTCATAGGAATATTAAAAATGAAAGATATTCCCTTCCCAAGAAAGCTTTATTTTTCACAAATAATTTAAGCTGGCAAACTCTCCTTCCTCCTCCTATTTCTCTTAACCCTGTGAATTGGATTGGGCTGTGAGAGAGTAAGTGACTTACCAGCTTTCATGCCTAAGGCAGAAACGTGTCTGAAAGCTCTTTTTTGCTTAGCCTGGCTTATCTTGCAGAATTCTTGAGAGTAAAACTGTGTGAGACAGTAGCCCTATCAACTCCATTTTAGTATATTTGGTGGACATGTCCCAAATTGGCATTTCTTGACCTGGATTACACATTCTCTTTCTTTTGGCTTTTTATAGGACTCAAATGGTGCTTTTCATCAACTGTGGTTTGACAATGCCAAGAGTATTTCTCTGAAAGCAGCCTATGCGAAAGAACGTGGTCTGAGGGGCATTGGGATGTGGAATGCAAATTGCCTGGATTACTCGGCAAGCATTGCAGCTCAACAGCAAAGGGAAGCAATGTGGAAAGCCTTGAAAGGCGCAAAATTTATGCAAGAGCCAGACTTGAATTCAGACAACAGTGAATGATTAAGTTAGTTTTTTAATGGGTACAGCATAATGCAGTAAAAAGCTGTGAAGGCTACTTGCTGTTCATTTACCTTGTTCCATTATGAGATACGTGCCATGTTTCTCAGGGTTAAGGTGTTTTATTTATTTCTCCATAAGAAAAAGAATTTACATCAATCATTCTAACATTGTCCTTTAATTTTAGGAAAGGGAAAATACATGTCATAAATACAGCAAATAAAGTATTTTTTATAATTACATAAAAGCTTTTTGCTTATGACTGATAAAATCAATAACTGGAGGGGAAGAGAAGAGAGTGAAAAATGGTTGCATCGATGAACAGTTTTTAATTTACAGTTTGGTTCAGAATATGTTGCTCTAGTGAAGTAGAATAACCTTTTTTTGTAGCAGCTTTAATTTTTCAGATTATGTATAATTGTTTTCCAGAATCAATCCCTAGTAATTGTGGCAATTGAAAATGGCAATTTTTATTTAAAAAACAATATATGTTGAGTTGTAGGTAGTTTCTCAATAATGATACTAAACTGACCCGAAGCACTATGAACATATTTAGAGGAATTCCAGTGAAAATAGAATCATAGTAGTATGAAATTTACATATAGATGACTGTAAAGTTACTCAAAGTGGAAATACCAATATTAGTTTGTACATTTTATATTTACAGCTTTCATTTTAAAGTTGAATTGGTTGATTCTCTTACAGACAATATACATTGCACTTACATTCTTTTGCCTTTAAGGAGGCAAATAATTTCTGTGGGTTTACTCTAGCATAAAAATCAAACTGTTCATAGTTTGAAAGAAAATTCAGTTTCTTGAAAATGTATATACTTAAACAAGAACGTGTAAACATTTTTAAAAGAAAAAAATTAAAATTTCAGCTTTGGGTTTTTAAAAAAATGACAATATGGCCTTTCAAATATTGTAATGTATTGAAAGTTTATTCTTTACTGGTTCTCTCCATCTTTAGCTCTGAACAGTTATATTACCTCTGAAAGAGGTCATCAAGTTCTCTTTTTGAATTTGTGACCCCTTGTATAGCAGGTGGAGCTTATGACTTTACAGAAGACAGTGACAAATTATCTTATGCCTGGATTTCTGCAATTTGCTTTGTATGGGACTGCCCTGAGGCTTCAGTTGGTCAAGAATGCAGCTGCCTACATGCTGACTGCTAGAATAAAATTAATTTTATAGGAACTGCCCTTGGGTACTTCCAAATCTTTATGTTTATTCATATCTCTGTCTTTAATCTTCCGGGGCTGAGGGTGGGCTTGAACTTGTCTTTCTGGTTAGAGTCTTTCACTACTATACCAGACTAGTCTTTCATTACCTTCATAATTTAAGATGAAAATAAACATTCCCCACAATGTTATAGATCATCAACCTTCAATAAGAAATCCCCTATTGAAAGGATTTATTCATTTTAAAGTTTAGTATATACCAGAATTGTTTGGAATGTAAAAGTCAAGTTTCTCTAGGAAGTGTTATAAAATTTTAATATCCTCTTTCTTACCTTCTTTTGCTCAAAGTAATTAGTACTTTTCTATCAATAGCCTATTGCCGCCTAATTCCTTGGTGTAAGGATAGGTTTACAGCTTGTCTTTCAGGCTGAAGAACTTGAAGAAAGAGCTTGTCTAGGTTTACCAGAATGATATTTACATTCCAGAAACTCATTCTCTAAGGACAAGAAAAAGCCCCAAATCTGAGTGTCTATTTTTAAAGCAAGCTATTAAATATATCTTTAGATTGCTTGGCCTTGTAAAATTGATCTTGTTTCAGTCTTTCCAAAGGAAAAAACACTTGCTAGCAAGGAACAACCACAACAGATTTTGGAGCCAAGGAATATGTATAGGCTAATTCATACTATCTGCTTCATACAATTTTTCATCTCTTTGTCATAAAGAACATGAAAGCATTTCCACACATCTATGTGAACAAAATGCCTCCCCAATGACAATTCTGATAACACAAAACCTAGACCATTTGTGATAAAAGGTATAGCAGTTTTTGTATCTTTTCAATATGCTCTTTTCTGGTATTGTTATAATCACTAAGAAGCTCAAAGCAGCAGTGCTGCTGTTACAAGGACATTTGCATTGGATGATATTTTTACCTATTCTCCCATGCACTCAGTTGTACCACTTTACAGTGAATTAGGCAGAGGGTGTATCAATGATCTTCTTGTGTTTTGGAAGCATTTCTGCAAAGCTTTTGAGAGCTCACTGACCCATATTCCTCCCTCCCTCCTTCCCAGAAATATGTTTACCACTAGTTTATCATTCAGCCTCCCTTAGGTAAACTTGTTCCTATATCACTTTAATGATGCAATGATTATGTATTAGCCATTAATTTTACAAATCTGTGCAGCAGGATAGAATTTTGTTAATTCAGGGTTAGTAAAATTCTTGAGACTAGAACACACATTTATTAGGTCAGTTTGGAAACATCAAGGGAAAGCCCTAATTTTTCTGCTACAGGCAAAAATATAGACCTACTTATATTTCAAAACATTTTATATTAAAATATAACTAAGAAAAAAACCATTCATTTCTTTGGCTTCATTTTATAGTAGCTGGAAACTAACGTCTTGTTTGCCTGAAAGTGCCTTTAAGCTTGAGAACACAGAAAGAAAAAATGTTTTGTATTTTGAGATCAAAGCAATCAATCTTCTCTATACCAATATTGAATCTGGAGGGAGGAAATTAAATGTGGCTTTTCAAGAATCCAAATAGAATTTTGCTACATATATTAAAAGTTCATGATCCCACCCTTACCACTTTGCAGGATAACAAGAACTTACACAAACATATATGTAAAGGTCAGTAAAAAACAGGAAAGAAACTGGTTCTGTTTGCCCAGGTAAACTTCCCATATTCACAGATTCTGCGTGGTTAACATTTGTTGATATAGCTATACCAGGAACCAAAACTGAAAACACACGTTTACTGTATATAGTTACTGGTTTTTGTACAGTAATAAAAGTGTATTGGCATACATCACAATTAACAGTTATCAAATGAATGTGGTTTACAGAAAAAAAGCAAAAAACCTGAAATGATGGAGGAATTGTAAACAAAACTATTTATTTGCAAAACCTTAGATTTGCAATGAGAAAAAGAATTGACTAATAATTCTATCTTTAGATATTGTTCTTCCCAACCTAGGTGTGCTATAGTTATAGCAAATTATTCAGTTAAATAGACAAAAGTCATTCTACCCCAAGAAATGATATACAATGGAGGATAAGGGCTTGAAATCAATCTAAGCATTTCTTCACCATTCCTCAGGATGTAATCTTTCCAGATATGTAATAGTGAGGCTTTCTCCGTCCATCAACAATGCTGTTGCAATGGATGCAACTTGGTTCTTCCCTCCAAGCTTGTTATTGCTGGTTTGCAATGCTATTGCCACATCAGCAATAGAACCAATTTAGCAATGAATAGTTTTTCACTGCATACAAGCTTTGTTATGTTTAACTAAAATTTAATCAAAATTAGATTTTTGAGTAGCTACAGACTGAAGAATTTTATTGAAAAGGTTAACTAAAATATTGGCTTTCCAGACAAAAATCTTAAAGATGACTGAATCTTCTTATGCACCAGTTCTGCCTTCAGCGCTTGTAAATCAGAAGTTGCTTGTTTTTTCATCTACAAAAGATCCAAAGATTATGACAGGAAGTATTAAGTTACAACTATTATAGATAAGAGTCAACTTTTATGTGGTTTAACAAATGCAATCTTGGTCTTCAAACTTTCTAGCCTAACCGGTTATAGTGCAATGCATCTTGAGACATGTTAATGCGTCAGGTGATGGTGGATCATAATATACATAAGGCATCATGTTTGATTTGACATAAATGGGAAATTGGCTAAAGAAACATTCAAGTATGATTACAAAGAAATTTTTTGTTGTGTTGTTATGACATGACGGGAATTCTGGGATGAAGTTCACACATCTTCTAATTGCCCCAGTTGAGAAACACTGCACTAGATTGTATTACAGTTTTCCAATACAGATTTCTATTCATATCATTTTTCTATATATGGCAAATGCCTGAAATTATTATGACTGCATAATTTGTACAGTAGCATCAATGTGTAAGATACTAAAAAGAGTAGAGAGAAGTACAACAAAGATGATTAAGGGACTGGAAGCTAAAACACAAAGAAGGGTTGATGGAATTGAGGATGTCTAGTTTAATGAAAAAAAGGACTAGAGGTGACAGGATAGCAGTGTTCCAATATCTCAGAGGTTAGATACAGATAATCAGAGTTGGAAGGGGCCTTGTAGGTCATCTAGTCCAACTCCCCGCCCAAGCGGGAGGCCCTACACCAGGCTTGTCCAACCCGCGGCCAGTGGGCCGCATGCGGCCCAGGTCATCTCGTAATGCGGCCCAGTGCCCACCCCAACCTTTGTGCCAGAGCCAGCGAGGAGGAGGAGAGGCAGGCGCGAGGCGGGGTGAGGCAAGCGCCAGGCCAAGCAGCAACAGAAAAGGTGGGCACCGTCAGAGCGCCACCTGCTGTTGCCGCCTCCGCCACCGCTGCCACTTCTGCCTCCGCCGCCGCTGCCCTCACCGCTGCTTCTGCCCCCGCCACCGCTGCCCCCACCGCCGCTTATGCCCCCGCCACCACTTCTGCCCCCGCTGTCGCTGCCACTTCTGCCCCCGCCGTCGCTGCCGCTTCTGCCCCCGCCGCCGCCGCTTCTGCCCCCTCCGCTTCTTCCCCTACCACCGCTGCTGCTTCTGCCCCCGCCGCCGCTGCCCTGCCGCCGCTTCTTCCCCCGCCACCGCTGCTGCTTCTGCCCCTGCTGCCCCTGCCCCCGCTGCTGCTTCTGCTTCCGCTGCCCCCACCGCCGCTTCTGCCCTCACCACCCCCGCCGCCTCTGCCCCCGCCGCCGCCGCCACTTCTTCCCCCACCGCCGCTTCTGCCACCGCTGCCCCCGCCGCCGCTGCCCCTGCCACTGCTTCTACCCTGCCACTGCTGCTGCTTCTGCCCCCGCCGCCGCCCCTGCTGCTTCTGCCTTCCAGTCCTGCCTCATCCAGCCAGACCATTTGCAGGAGGAGAGGTAGGTGCGAGGCGGGCAAGCTTTCTCTCCCCCGCCGCAAAATTTGGCCGGAAAATAAACCGTGATAAAAAAACCGTGATAAAAAAACCGTGATAAAAAATAAATAATTTTTAATAAAAAATTAATAATACATAATAAAAACATCTCACTAACTTCATTTCCAAATAAATTTAATATGTTAACTATGTTTTCTATGGTTTTTTTGGATGATCAGGTATCGTTACTGTTATTTTATTTTATGTGCGGCCCAAACCAAATTTTCATCTTCTAATGTGGCCCAGGGAAGGTGAAAGGTTGGACACCCCTGCCCTACACCATTTCTGACAAATGGCAATCCAATCTCTTCTTGAAAGTCTCAACTGATAGCTGCCACAAAGAAAAGGGAGTCAAGCTATTCTCCAAAGCACTTGAGGGCAGGACAAGAAGCAATGGGTGGAAACTACTCAAGAAAAGAACCAACCTAGAACTAAGGAAAAATTTCCGGATAGAACAATTAATCAGTGGAATGACCTATCTCCAGAAGTTGTGGATACTCCAACATTAGATGTTTCTGAGAAGAGATTGGACAACCATCTATCTGAAATGGTATAGGGATTCCTGCCTGAACCAGGGTTTTGAACTGGAAGACCTCCCAGGTCCCTTTCCAACTCTGTTAGTCTGTTACTTTATAAAGCAAAACCTTCCAAAAAGTATGCTTTATGAAGGATGTTCTGAAGAGCAACAGCACTCATGCCTTTTGCTTCTGATTTTAGTCTTTCATTGGTATATCCACTGCACAAAGGCAATTTGAAAGTAAGATCTTACTATTACATAAGGCCTTCTTGCTTGGCTGTGCTGGGTCAGGAGGATAAGAATCATAGGAGTCAGTCTGAGAAGAGCTCAGTAAGATTGCTTTGAATAACAGGACTATCATTTAAGGTCATTTGTTAATTGCCGCTCACCTTCCTACTGAGAAATCCATAACAACTTTCCAGATCATAGTTTCAAGACCATTGGAACAAGTATTAACATAATTAGTGTAAAATTATTTGCCAATTATATGACAATTATGTGCAAATATGCTCTGAACATACTGTGCAGTTTATGTATATGTACATCTGAAAGGTATTAAAATGGTTATGCTTAACATCTCCTTTTAATGGCATTCTACATGCTCACAGTATGAGATATATCACAGAAAAAGAAATTGCCCTTCTAGAGCAGCACTTCCTTTGCACATTCAGTTTTCAGATTAATGGGATCTTTAAATTAAGACAATCTCCCCATGGCTTCAAAAGTTCCACAATTTTATCAGCAGGACTCATCAGAAATTTCAAAATCCTAGTAACTGAGGGTTAATTTAACAACTGTTTGATGGAGGCCATTGAGAACGGCATTGGTGTTCCATGTTTCTGGTGCAATCTTTAAAGCCTCACTCTCCGTGCACTAGTCTATAATGATGTGCAGTATTTGTCTTTTCCAAGGGTCCTTATGGCTGGCATAGAGGTACAACTCATGTCTAGACTGACCCTGGGACAAGACGTTTTTGAAAGTTACTGTGGATGAATGAAACAGTGATAGTAGTGACTATGCACAATTTTCAGCATTATTTTCCCATGCCACAAACAATGCCATCTTAACTCCTTTTTTTCATAGTCCTTTCATAAATTATCAGTGCAAGCCTATATGTGTTATGTTCAAAAACAAACCAGTTGATTTCAGTGTATGCACTTAGGAAAGCAAATGTAGAATCATTTACTCCAAGCGATTGATAAAATGGAACTAATTTTCTGAATATTTATTTTATTTGGTTTGTCAATTGCTTACAAGATAATAGGTATAAGTAAAAACATAGTTATGAATACATGGATACAAATAAGAAAAATAAAAGAAACAATAGGACAGGGATGGTAGGCACGTTGGTGCGCTTATGCACCAGACCTCTTAGGAAAGGGGTGAGGTCAATAATAGAAAGTCTAAGGTTAAAGTCTAAGGTTAAAGTTTTTGGGGTTTATAGAGATAATTTACTGTGGTAAGAATATTATTGTGTGGGTTTCTGAACCAAGTAACCCTTCCCCTTCCCCACAACCATAATGAAGATTTCTTAACTGAACAGGAGCGTGTATACCTTGGAAATCAGCATATGATTCATTCTCAAAATATGTCTCAATTACTACTACTTTCCTTGATTTCCAATTGTGTAACCCTTGGCATATTAAAAGCCAGTCTTGAAAGAAACCTTTGATTTGTTACTGGCTTCACTGACTGTATGTGTGTATATGCTATGTGTAGAAGTGCAAGCATACATGTAATAAATTAGTACAGTACCTTGATTTCTATGACAAGCTTCATTTTGGCATTGTCTAACTTTCTCTTTAGCTGGTCAATTTCCCGCTCCAGAGTTGTAATCTGGATTATTATATTATTCTGTCAAAAAAACAAACCCCCCAAATTAATTTGGAACATAACTACATATATAAACAACACACACATTCCATGATATAATTGCTACTCAGTAATATAAGTTAAACTGATGCCTAGAGGTTCTCTAGGAGTTTGTTTTTAAATATATTTTAAGTTCTTTAGCACTCAAACACCTATATATTGTTCTTCTTCAGAAGAATATAACCACTATGATGGTATCTCTCTCATATTGGATTTGACCATAGAGCAAAGCAATGCTTTCACACATTGACTACAATAAACTAGGTCAGTATTTGAATGTTTGTTTTGCTATGGCCAGCCTGGATTTACCCAGTTAAAAATGGATTTGACTATCCCTTGTGAAATTGTCGTTATTAAAAAATATATTTATTAAATAGAATGGGGAAAAGCAGCCAATTCTGAGGTACCGCAGAGTCAACCAAAGCCCTGAATGCTGCTCCCCCATGTTTATATATTGAAACTCCATTCGGGTAAGGGTGGAATCATTGCAAAACAGTGTTTCCTTCTCTCAGCTCACACAGGCTCAGAGAACTTTGCTTCTTTACCATAGAAAGTAAAAGAATTATTGTGAATCTTAACCTTTATAATATTCTACAATTTAGTGCAGATAGTGAATTAAACTGTGGGACTGAACACACATCACAAAGTAGATTTTCAGTACCTTCTTTAGAAATAAACATAAGGTATACAGCTGGATATATGAAATTATGACTTAGCTGGAAAATAACCTTAACAATAGGAGAAAGTTTACTATGTGGGAAAAAACATGATAGAACATTTCTTAGATTAATTAACCAAATTGTCTTGATATTAAGAGGATATGATTCATACTGGAAGTATTTAATTAATTTTAAACTTCATTCTCATGAGTTTTATGGTTGAGCTCCGAAGAAAATCTTACGTATACCATATTATAATGAAAGAATGAGGACTGAAATCATTTTAGCAACTTGTAACACTATTTCAACTCAAGGGAAAAGAACTTAAAAAATATTCTTCTTTATTCTTGCCAATAGTACCTTCTTTTTATTAATTACAAATGTGACATATTTATAGTAATTTATGTTATATCTTTATTAGAACACTAGCAGGGTACCTGTGCTTCACTACAAAACTATGTGATTAGGCAAGTTTGGGGGGAGGAAAATAAGGCGGGGGGGAGTGCTGCCTCTGCCTACCAGCATCCATTTCTTAGATTAATTAACCAAATTGTCTTGATATTAAGAGGATATGATTCATACTGGAAGTATTTAATTAATTTTAAACTTCATTCTCATGAGTTTTATTGTTGAGCTCGGAAGAAAGAGCTCGGTATTCATCTGGCAAGTGTCCTGTCAGCGTGTGAGAGAGTTGAGGGCTGTTTGAAAACTGAAACAGTATTTGCTGTGTGAGCAAGAAAGAGACAGCAAGGAGCCTGGGTGTGGCTTAGCTCAACTGTTTTGTACTAAAGCTTCTTAGTACTGTGAAACTAATACTGACACTCCTCTCCTTTGCTTGTGTTTTGCATTTGGAACAGATTTCTTCTCAGGTGGGGAAGAAGAGTAGAACTCCTTAGCATCAGAGCATGCTAATAATAATATACGAAATACTAATGCTCTGACGGTCATTTTGAAAAATCCTTTCTTAGTGAGCACCTAGAAGCCAAGAGGAACATATGTGCCAGATTTCAAGTTTGTAGGCTTTATGGTTCTGGAGATTTTGTGATGATCCGTGAGTGGTATTTTGCTTTTATATATATAGATAAATATAGTCATTATATAAGTTGAGTTAAATTTTTGCACAGCTTCAGCTTTAGACATTTTTAATATATATTAGCAACCCGTCTGTTTAAAACTGTGTTAAGATTCCAAGATTTGCTGTACTGACAAAACTTAAGTTTTTATGGGCAAGGAAAGTTTTTTTAAAATAATTACCTTTGAATTGGTGGTTTGTGTTAAATTATTTCGTTTTTTATTGATATCTCTAGCTTCCAGCTGCCTCAGTAATTTTTGATGGTGTAGTTCTAAATTTTCCTGTAATTTATTTAAAGCTTCCTCTGAGAAAACTGTGGCTTTCTTCATTTCAAAATATTTTTTTTTCCAGGAATCACGGACTGCAAGATTAAAACAACAAAACATACAGCATATGTTCCTCAGAAAAGGATTCCATGCAGGTCAATAGCAGTTCAATAATTTATTCTAAATGAATGTATATAGATTACAGCTAAAGAATCGGGGAAGTACATATTTGATTCAACAATGAAAAATTAAAAATATTTTTTATAAAACTCAAACCTGATGTTGGACAACATTCAGTTTTTATAGTTGTTGGTCAATGAAAAAATTGGATGTATCAACCTAGAACATACCATGGCATCTCCTGAGCTTGTGCCGTTCAATCAGGTTTTTTACTTTTTTGATTAGTTCCTCTCTGGTGTTTTCCAGATGTCTTCTTTCTGTCTTAATATGTTGCAGTTGTTTATGTAATTGATTGCCTGAGGAAGAAGAAATCCCATATTTATCATATTTGCAAAAGTTAATGAGAACAATTGTGAAAAAAATTAAAATAAAAATGTGCCATTCTTCTATTGGTCAACACAGGGTTGATCCACTACAATAAAATAAAATGAACTCAACCAAAGAATGGTTTAGTGGTTGGTGCTGGGCTGAAAAGAGAAATATCTGTGTATTTTCATTTGAAGCAATTGTCCGGTATGTGGGATCTACACAGATTACAGAATTCAGCAGATAATATGAAGGAATAATGTACTCAATCAAGAATTTTTTCCCATACTTTGAATCATGAAGTAAAGATGAAAAAAAAAATCTATATATTGACCTCTGCAAGAACATATTGTGGCAGAAAACTGGAAAAGAAACTTTTGATGATATTAGATTAAATTAAAATTGGAGAATATGCTGCAATATACATTGCAACAAAACTAGTAATATCTATCCACAATAGAAGTTTAGCCAAACTCAGTTAGGAATGATTCCTTTACGTATAATATATTATACGGCAAGGTAAATTGGATTATTGTTTGTAGAACTTAAACAGAAGATAACAACAATCTTAAGTGTTCAGTGTAAAGTATAGATATCTGAACTATGGTCAGCGTTTGGGGACACAATGGGAAGGATAGGGAAGAATATATTACTAGTGACTCCTTTTATAATGTTTTTAATATATACATAGTAATTCTTCAGCTTTCTTCTACTTTGTGTCTTTCCTTTTTATTTATTTTTAACAATAAAAATGTTTTAAAAACTAAAAATGATGAAAAATTGATATATACACATGCTCAATATATATATTTCTGTAGCTAAACTGTAAGCAAAGTAATGAAGACTTGAAAAACACTTTTAAAGGATGCCTAAACTGAAAAAAATAATAATACTTTTAGAATGTCTCTTGGACAAGCTCTTTGAAGAATACACTTATTTTTGGAAAAAAATAATTGAAACTATGTAAGTTGTTTATTGCTAATCTTATATAGATAATAATCTGAATGTGAACACAAGGAATGCAAAATGCTATCCATTCACAAGAGGTAATTACTGTTGGACTTGAAGGAGGAAGAGGAGGCGACAACTTCAGGGAGAAAAATAAACAACCTAGTTAATGGTGATTGTCCTCAGTGGACACAGAATGAGGACCAGTTGGTGGGGGAAAGGAAGAAAGGGTAAAGAAGGAAAAAAATAACCCTAAGTAGATGGAGTATAATGCTTCCAATCATTAACAGAAGTAGTCCAAGTAGCATGCCTTTTAGGGCAATTGTATGTGGGTTGCAAAAGTCCATAGCACCACAAGAGGGCAGAAAACTCATAAATTTATCAGAATTTTTACATTCCAATATTCTGTGCTTGATAGACATGAATTCTATACCTGAAAAAAATACCCATGTAGCCTTTTCCAGAAGTCACTTAGACAAAAAGAAGGCACGAATTACACTATGAATTATTGCCTTAAGAAAACGGTTGACAATCAAAAATTACCCTTTAGAGAGGCTTTTTGATTATGTTTAGTAGACATGTGAATACACAATTGATAAGAGGGAAAAATCTCTGCTCCTGAAACCTTTTGTGAAACCCCTAATCTCATGGGAGGTCTTGGACAGATTTCCTCACCTTCTGTTGGAAAATCTTTGTGAGGAAGTTGAGCTCTATTTACTGAGACAGCCAGAAGAGGTGGAGTAGGAGGGGGAAGATAGTGACTAGAATATGCAGAGTCGTTTAGGTTATTCCCATCAGCCTAGGATCAAATAAAAATGTGTCAATGTTCAGTGTTATTTTTAGGATATAAGAACTCTGGGGTTGAAAAATCATACATGTAAAGTTCAAAAACTCAAAGAAAAAAAAACCCGAGGGGCCTTTATGAAAATCTTAACAGAAAATGAGCCAAATCATAGGAAGCATTAAAAAATAACTTTGCTTGAGGATGTCAAAATGTCTAGAGCCAGCCCCTGAGATCATGTGTAAGTGCGTCGTTGCATTACAGCAAACTTTTTCATTTGAATCATCTCTCAAATGTCAGAGTGCCTAATCTACTTTAGATTTTGAATGTAGTCCAAAGGGTTTTAGTCCTAAGCAAACAGACATACGCTTGTCCTGTCCCTATCTGATACTTCATTATATCTATATTGTATATCTCTATTATACAGAAACAGGCAGACAGTACTTACTGTTTGTAATGTATGTCCTACTTCAAAAACACTGCTTTCAAAACAATAGAAAATTGGCTAGATATGAAATGATTAATCACAAGAATTATATGTAATTATAGTAAACCTGTAAGATTTATTATCTTAAGTCAAAATTAATTCAACCCAAGACACAGAAATGTGTTAACAAACCATTTTAACTAACTTAGTTGTGGTGCTAGACTCCCCTGGGAACATACCTGATTATTCTGCACATTACCAGAGTGAGCAGCAGTCTTGGTAATTCCAGGATGTTGTTGGCTACAGATGAAATCAAGGTAACAGCTACATTAGAAATAAGCCTCTGATTAAACTTGTTGGGATTACAAGTTGCTTTGATTGAATTATTAATCTAAAAATTAGGATAGTGAAATCAGACTGGAAGAGCCTTTTTGGTGACAAACTGGATTAACAGCAAGTATTCTAAAGGTGCACTAACCTCGCACACAGGAAATTAAGCTAGGTGAACTAGTTCCCATGCTTAATTGCATTTATCTGGAAGCTAATTAAAGAGCTAGCTTTTTGCATTATTGAATATGTTAGAAGTTCTTAATGTGACTTCAATGATTGACATTGAATACTGTCAGCAGAAATAGCATATTTATTTCCTTACCTCCTCTTCTTGGGTGAGTATATTATGTCTCTGTCTTCCAAGGATTTGGGGATTCTAGAATCAGCAGTAGTAGTATGCCTTTCCTTTCCAATCCCTGTCAAATTCCCTCCATTTTCTGTATTTGTATCCAACATGAGAGAAACCTCTTCTGCATCAAAGGTCAAAATATTACCTGTCTGTACAGGAATGTGTATGCACATATACAAATAGAAGAACACAGAGCTTTTACTTTTGTCAATTGCCAACTAACAGCAAAATTGGCTACTTTTTGGTAGTCATCAAAACAAAAATACTTCCAATATTTTGAATAAATAAGAGTTCTCGAAACACCACATATTTTCTGAATTTGGAAGTTTTTGCAGACATAGTTAAGATTTCATCAGATACATGCAATCCACACCTGGATTTGAAAGATCACCTTTCCTAATTACCGCTACATCCATTGTCTTATAGTTCTCTGTCACTTAGCCTTAGTTTGTTGTGACATGAACCAGACAGCTCTGTTAGTTCCAAACCCCAAACTACAGACACAATTCCATTTCAAAACAATCTCAACTCACAGATTGAAAGTTAAATGTAATCACATTTTTGCTCTGTTTTGATATCACTACAAGCAATTATTGAAAAAGAGAGAACTGTGGCTATTTCCAATCCTCTAAGCAGCAATGGTTTTAATTAGATATGATATTTTACAAGCATTTTAGAGAACTAGATTAACTTTAATATTTCCTCTTGATTGTATAATGTTGCTCTCAGCTTCTCCCCAATTTACGATTTAAGCAATTATCTACAATTAGTTTGTGTATCAGTAGTTGTCCCCCTTAATTTAACACTCCAGCAGCACAACTTCAAAATGTATAATATAATGTTTTCTGTCTATTAACTTACAGGTGAAGTCAAATGAAATGTCAGTACACAAAGCATGTTTCGGGCAAACTGCAAGGTGCTGGCATAGTCCTTCCATTCTTGTCTTAGACAATCAGATGGCCATTTCCACCCCTAGATTCTGCCTTCCAATAAGTGCTATGTAACCTTTCTCAAAAGCCTATTTTTTAAATCAAATCTTTGTAAGCTTCCAGCCAGGTGTATGGGTGGGGGGAAGGGAAGGGAGAACAGATGTCTCCCATTTGAAGAAGAGGGGTTCTTGAATTAATGAGATTTCTACATCTCCCTTGACCACTTTTTCATGGCAGTGTTTGCCTCCCTTCTTTCCAAAACTATTTCTGTCCTATGTTTTTCTAAGGTAATGTAAGGTAAACAAGCAAACCCTTATATAAGAAAATTGCAGAGATGCATTTACAATTGGTATGTCCCCCCCATATGTTTCTTTATTTCACTTTCTTTTGAACTAGAAGGATACCGAAATGAGATACAGGAAAAGAGGCAGATAAACCAGCCTATTGAAGCAAACAGAAAATCCCCAAACTATGAAACTGGGTAATAACAATGAACCAACCCTGACTATACTATACTATACTATACTATACTATACTATACTATACTATACTATACTATACTATACTATACTATACTATACTATTCCAGTTGATGGATATTTTCCTAATATTAGTGATAAGTTGAAAGGAGTGGTAGCAAAGCCAGCCAACTTTATTTTACAGAAGACAATGTTGAAAAAGCACTATGCAATCTAAAACCATCTCTATCTATTGGACACAATGTTGAAAAAGCACTACGCAATCTAAAACCATCTCTATCTATTGGACCGGATGGAATATGTGCCTATTTCTTAAAAAAGCTATCCACTGCCATAGCCAAACCTCTAAGCATAATCTTTGAAAAATCTTTCAGGACCAGCTCCTTGCCTAACCTATGGTCACAAGCCACAGTCATCCCCATCTTCAAAAAGGGAGACCCCAGCCTAGTTGAAAATTACAGACCAATCTCCTTATGCTGCGTCTCCTGCAAAGTCATGGAATCAATTATTAACCAATCCATCATCCTCCACTTAGAGACAAACAACCTACTCTCCAATAAACAATTTGGTTTCAGAAAAAAACTATCCTGTAATCTGCAACTCTTACACTGCAAAAACATATGGACTACACAACTTGATCAGGGCAAAACAATAGATGCAATCTACATAGACTTCTGTAAAGCCTTTGATTCAGTGGTACATGACAAACTACTACTAAAAATAAAATCCTATGGTATCTCTGGACAACTGCATAACTGGATAGAAGCATTCCTGTCAAACAGACAACAAATGGTCAAAATTGGGAGCGTCCTATCAAATTCTGTACCTGTCAATAGTGGTGTCCCCCAAGGCAGTGTTCTAGGACCAACTCTCTTCATACTCTACATAAATGACCTCTGTGATCATATTAAGAGCAACTGCGTTCTTTTCGCTGATGATGTAAAGCTGTTCAATACCACAGACAATACTGCTACCCTTCAAAAAGATCTTGACTGTGTATCAGAATGGTCAAACAAATGGCAACTTCAAATCCCAACAAATAAATGCTCCGTCTTACATATTGGCAAAAAAAATCCGAAAATAAAATACAAGCTGAATAGTCAAGATCTTGTTGATGATCCAAGCTCTGTAAAGGACCTTGGAATACTCACCTCTAATGATCTAAGTGCTAGAGCCCACTGCAACTACATAGCCAAAAAGGCATTAAGAGTTGTTAACCTAATCTTACGTAGCTTTTTCTCTGGTAATATCACACTACTAACGAGAGCATACAAAACATTTGCTAGACCAATACTCGAATACAGCTCATCAGTCTGGAACCCACATTACGTATCTGATATTAGCACAATTGAGAAAGTCCAGAAATATTTCACAAGAAGAGTTCTCCACTCCTCTACTTGTTGTAGAATACCTTATGCCACCAGACTTGAAATTCTAGAACTAGAAAACCTTGAATTACGCCGTCTTCGGTCTGACTTAAGCATGGTATATAAAATCATACATTGCAATGTCCTACCTGTCAATGAATACTTCAGCTTCAACCATAACAACACAAGAGCACACAACAGATACAAACTCAAGGTTAACCGCACCAAGCTTGATTGCAGGAAATACGACTTCAGCAACAGAGTGATCAATGTCTGGAATACTCTACCTGACTCTGTAGTTTCTTCCCCAAACCCCAAAAACTTTAACCTTAGACTGTCTACTATTGACCTCACCCCTTTCCTAAGAGGTCTGTAGGGGGCGTGCATAAGCGCACCAACGTGCCTACCGTCCCTGTCCTATTGTTTCTTTTATTTTTCTTTTATTTTTCTTATATGTACCCATTTCATGTATTCATAACTATGTATACACTTATACTTATTATCTTGTAAACAATTGACAAATAAAATAAAATAAATAAATAAAATAAAAATAAATGTCAAAAATTAGATATGGTTTAGGAGAGAGATACAATAAGCACAATGAAGGCACAGGCAGGATAGAATGAATGATCTGGACAACCAATTTTATGATGGCATTGTTTTCTGCCAAGTCAAGGATGAATAGTGGTTTAACTTAATGGCACATTAAAATAAATATTATGTATGAAATTGATCCCACAACCTGGTATAAAATGAGGTCTTATAGTCCCTCCAAAGAGCATCTACTAACTGCGATGCATTTATCCATCTGAAGTAAAAAATTAAAATTATTAAAGTACTAGAACAGAGGTAGACAAATGGTTCTCAATCACAATCCAAGTGCAAGACACAACCCTGAGATGAAAAAGTGTTTAAAAACAACTAGTGAAAGATATATAAAGGAGTCCAGCCCTGTAGCACAGGAGGAGGCGAACATTAAGAAATGGAATGCACGCTGGATTTAAGCCATCAATTTACTGTTTCTGGATTGCATTTTCCTCATTTTTACACAACTGTCATTTACAGAACCTGAATGTAAAATTACAGAATGTAATTTTTCAATTACGTCAAGAGCAAAAATGGTTAGCTCACGTTCCTAATGTGATCTCATTTTAAGGTCACCTAAATATATTTCCAATAAAGGTACCCTTGTATGAAACCTAGATTTATACCACCATTCAAAGAATTTATTGCAATCAACATATTAATGAAATGTTCTTCCACTTGAAATATCAGTATTCTCTATCATCATGTCATAGAAATGCCAGCCAGCTCCTTACAAAATGTATAAATTAGGAGAACAGCAGACAAAATTATAACAGAATAAATTCCTTACGCTACTAATAGCAGATACAAATGCAAATACAAAAATTATACGTCATACTTTGTGCACTAAGGTATACCTTTTGTTTTTTGTGAGGTGTGACTTAGTGGAAACTGGTTGTTTTCCTCCTTTTCATAGCTCTGATCCATCTTTGGAGATGCAACTGTCTTTCTATATTTTTCATCCTTTCCTGGAATATTATGCCTTTCTCGGGTTGAAAAATCAGTCTTTTTCTGATACATTTTCACTGGTGCCGATTTCTTTACAGGGTGCTGTTTTGATGATGGAGCAGATTCTGTTTTGTTGATGTTACAACTGATTTTTCCTGAAAATGACACGATATATATTAATATATACACAGATTGACATAGACAGTATTGTAAACTTCAAAGTGCTGTACTATATAAGACCATATCATTTTGATCTTATTACATAAAATAACTTTTAATTTTCTAATATAGAAAGTATATACATTTATATTTATAATCAAAGAAGACATGTTAATAAAATATAAGACAAATCTTTTAGATATCCTATTTTTTAGAATATATATGAGAAACATAAAACTATCAGATCAGATTAACAAACAAATGTTTACAAATATATGTATATATGTTTATGTCATATTCTCATCATGCACTCAATAGTAATCATGATAACAGACAAAAAAGAGCAAAATCCAAGATGCTTATGTAATATGGCAGAGATGTCGGATACTGTCATGAATTATAAATTAGATAAACATAAGGCAATCCAAAAGTTCCATTGCTCACTAATTGACATGTTGCTACAGAATCCTTAGGCACCAAATGTTCCAAAAGCCCATTTTAATCAATGATCTCTGTGCTGTAAATTTAACAATACAGAATTTTAGGAATTGAAACAAAAAAAAAAAAAGCAGAACAGGAAACTTTGCTATAGATTTAATAGCAAAACTAGATATATCTTGTTTGAAAAATTAGAATGACTCTTCTTCCCATTAGTGCAAAACAACATTCATTACCTTATTTATAATTTGACTTTTATAGCTTTCTATTTAAATTCTAAAGTCTCACCTTTCCTTTGTTGTGAGCTATTTTTTCTTTGAATACTTTCATTCTTTTCTTGCTCAGAGCTTTGCTTTTTATGTAGAACTGGAAGAGTTTCCTTTTCATTCCACTCACCAAAATCAGATTTTTCCAGAGTTTGACTGAGATTATTTTTGAAGGAGCTATCCAACATTGTTGAGTTTGGATAAATATCAGGATTTGGAGAAATTAAACTATGTGGTCTTTCATATGATGCAGATGTAAGCAGATATTCTGGATTATTATGGTGTTTCTCTGGAGTGGATGACAAAGATGAATAAATACTTTCTGTTCCTGGTAACAAATAAAGTTCTGGATGTAAGGCCTGTAGTGTGGAACATGGTAGAAAAAAACTAAGAACTAAGAATTGTAGCTTTGTTCTTAAATTGAAATAATAATATATTGTACATACATATGGAGGAGCAAATGATTTCAGCTTCAGTTCCATCTCTTGTTTTCCTTTCACCTTGGAACATTACAACAAAGGCAATATTATCAAAATGCTTTCAATCATCCCATCACCTTTATTTATAGAAATTGGGCAAAATTCCAATTTCACATGAATAAAAACACAATTTTGCCTCATTCTCCTGAAGTTCTGTAAAACTCCCAAAATGTTCAAGGAACAAGGGTTTTGTAGCAGACATCTTTTCTTCTTCAGTACATTATGTCCCAATCATAAAATATTAGTGGCTTAAACGTCATATTCAAGAGTTAGCAGAAAATCGTAGACAATAACTGTAAAGGATATTTGTATAAGATTTTATTTGTTTGCTTAAAGAGACGTTTTTGTTATTACATTATTTTATTGATTTTTAATTTTTATTATTGTAACATTTTTTCTTTTCAATGTGATTGTCTAATACATTGTTTGGTGTCACCTTTATCCTTTTTTTAAGAAACAAATTTCATAATGCTTGTTAAAAGAAAAAGAAACACTTTGGAAAACTTTAAAGCCCAGTGTAAGTAGAATTAAACAAATGTTTACTCATATAGATATAGCTAGAGTTGTTTTGCAAATTATGCAGCAATTTCAATATTCTTAGAAGGGTGCTTATAATATTTGTAAAAGCCCAATTTGAAATGTATAAAAATAAATGGTACTTGTAGAGGAACCCGAAGGCATGTATTTTCAGCAAATTATAGTTTGCAGATTGGGAGCATATCTTTGGAACTTTCAAAATGTTTATTCCCAACTTTCCTTCTCTCTCTTGCAAGAGTTTTTCCTATATAGTTTTGTTTGCCTTTAGTTTGTATAGTTAGCCTTCCCAATTTAGTACTGTCAAATGTGATGCACTTCAAGATACAAATTGTCCTAACCACTTGGAGTTACAAGATATACAGTTCAACATATCTGGATATATAAAATCTGATTTATGTATTATATTCAGACATGAAACACGATCGACAGAAACTAGTTTCAGTTAAATTAAGAGTTTAAAATGTGATTTTAAGTGGGTTTTGAATATTGATTAATGTCAATTGTAATTAGCACTAGGTATAATTGACATCAATGAAAATGCAGCACTGTATTACTAAATACAAACCTCTCTGTTCATGAAGCTAACTGCAAAGCCATAACAATTATTTCTGAGAAGTCCGAGATAGTGCCCAAGTAAGAAACTATTTCATTGCTGCTATCGCAGTGAACATGATTGCAACTAGATTCCCTTTGTTGTATAATCCAGTGTATACCAGTAACCAATCTGTGATGCAGGCATCCGAATGTGTTACTTCTGTGCTTGTTTTGAACTTGTTTTCATAAATCACACACCGGATAGTTATATAAGTGAACATTTAGTCAAGGTTATAATGTAGGCAAGTCTAAAGGAGAAATAAGCCTGAATATGATTTGTTGTGACAGTTTTATCAATGGTTACCAGGACCACCACCAGAGTCAGATTTTTCAAGCAGTTTTCAAGGGAGATGGATAAAATATGATTGCGGGTTTATTGTTCATATGGAATAACCTGAACAGCATGTGGCTGGTCAGACAATTTAAAGAAACGTCGTATTTCCAACAGCTAAAATCAGAAAAAGAACTGGCAAAAAACAACTGTGACAGGAAATAGCAAAAGCAACACAAATGTCCTTACCAGTGAGTGCTCTAGACACTCAAAAGAGAAGTAACATTTAACTATTCGGTTTCAGAATTATTACCATTACCACATCAGTAATTAAAAACAACACACCACCACCTATATGTTTTTAGAATCTCTTGGCATCTCAAATTAAATTAAATGTATATACCACCCAACTCCCAGTGATTTTTGCTATAGGAAGCTTATATAACCTTTCAACCTCTCTCATGGTACTTATGGAAGTTTTTACTATTCATAGAAAAGCAGCCTTTTAAATGAGAACAAATCTTTAGCTCATTTAGCTTTTTCATTTCCTGTACAAACTATGGTAGTTAGAATTTCTTAATTGATGGATTGCTCTTGCAGTTATATTATGCAACCTTATGGAATTTTAGCATGTAAGTTTTGATACTCATCGTGAAGAGAGATGCCTCATGTGCAGTTCTTTTCCCCAAGCAATAGTTCATCAGGCTTATTCTGAATCTCCTTTTAAAACATTCTTCATTATTTTTAAACATCATTCCGTTACTGAACATAGGTATTTTCTTTAAAATTCATGAAAAGGGGTACTGTTCAGAAATCCCCCATTTACATGGTGGTTGGCAATTGCCTATGGACATTCTAATCCATGAAATTCAAGCAGAATACAGGGACATGTTATTTGCTGCCAAGATTAGTTTCAGATGTTTTTTTAAAAGAGGCCTGCACCATGGTTAATAAAATGTCAGAGTATATTCATTGTGTCACAGTGTTATTCAAAAGTCATTTCTCCAATATCAAATTATGAGTTTTGTTCTAGGTGAGATTCTTGGTTAGATCGTATATGTTGATAATCCTGTAGGATAATCAGCAAGAAACATGAAGTACTTACCACCACAAGTTTCTCTCCAATGCATTTTAGAAAGACATACTTATCTATAACTGCATCTTCACCTAGGTACTCTCCAAAGTTTTCTCTCAATGTTTTCAATGTCATATGAGGTGACACCCTAGAACATCAGATTTTATTGTTGCATTAAAATGGATATGAGATAATGCTTATATTGTGCAGTATTTAGTTTTAGAGAGGTGGAAATATAAAGGGAATAAAACATATATATAGGAGGCACTTGAATGTTAGAATTGAGATATTAACACACACTATGCAATTAGTACTTTTAGCAGCATTCAGGATTACAGCGCAATTTTATTGTCTTGTTCACTTTTATTGAAATAATGAAAAGAATATATAAAATATAAAGTAGCGTGTAGGGCATAATAAGATAACAATACTCTTTGGATGCATACTTGTTAGCTTAAAGCTGTCCCGCACACTCTAAGACTAAATTTACATGGTCTCTGTGGTTTGATATAAGATAGAAAACCAGTTTGGTATAATGTTTAAAGTGCTAATAGAAACCAGAAAACTGTGAGTTCTAGGCTGCCTTAGGCACAAAGCTGACAGAGTAACTGGAAGAAAGTCACACACTATTATTATTCTCACCTTATAAATCCAGCTGAAAAGAATTTGCTAATAACTTCTACAGAAACAGTATTTAATTTGAAATTCCACACTTCTTCTGGAACATAAAATACATGCAGCTCTAAAAGCTAAAAATATATAAAAAGAAACTGTTTAGTAATTAGCATGGCCAATTTTAATAATGGATTTTACATCTGACAATATATGCCAATGATTTCTTCTTAGGCAAAATGGTGCAAATTATGAGAATTCAATCCATCATGCCATAAATGGACATGTAATTTTTAGAATTTACTGTTTAAATATTTCTCTCTGTCCAAAAATCATATGCAAAAATGAATACTTTTAACAAGCTGCATATAAAAAGTGTACTTCTTGTAAAACTTGTAAAAAAGAATAATTTATTGAAATTGTATACAAAGATGTATATTGGGTTGACAGCAAATAAGCTATTCTGACAGAGATAAACATTTATATGCAAATGAAAATATGGTCTAGAGATGATACTGTTTGTGAGCAATTTGGAACTAGAATCACTTGCATTTATTTTGATTTGGATGTCATAATGCTTACAGACCTGGTTGGATGAATATTTGATCTCTTTTGTCCAATTAGAAAGAATAATTTAAACCTGAAATTCGACAAGATGAAACCTATTTGATCCTTGTCTTTCTAGGTTATAAAGAAGCAGAAGATGAATGATATGAATAGACCACCTATCAACACTTTCCAACAAAATAGATACCCACAGAACTTTATCAAAAAGTGTCTGACTACTTACCCCTGGTAGACTGACCAGCACAACCTACACAAGCTATGAAAAGGATGACATTACCATAGGCAGAAACAACCAAGACTAATTACAACCACATAGCATCACCATAATACATAAACCAACTAAAGCTTTCCAATATATCTTAAGTAAACCAAAAGACCCAGCAGCCCAAGAACAAAAACCAGGAGTCATTTACAACATACAGAATAAGGACTGCAACAGCCACTCTGTAGGATAGATGGGGAGAAGATTAGCAGGGGACATCCATGAACATCAAGCAATACTCAGAAAACAAACTAAAAATTTAATTTTTCAACACCTGGACAGATTCAGCCACAGTTTCAAGCCAAATCCAAAAGTGCTAGGGTATCCCTTGGAAGCTTGGCACTAAGACAAATCAGCCATCAATAGATACATAAACTACATTTATATGTCGTTCAAAAGAGATAACAAAAAGCAAAGGAAACAAAAAAGACCAGAACACATCCCCTCCAGGGACCAATACGCATATACGCAGGGACCACCAATCAAGCAAACAAAAACAAAACCCTTAATCAAGTACTGAGAAAAGCACATGCCCACCGAAAGTGGTAGGGCAAGCTACTACCTATATATAAACAGGGACGAAAGAAACTTCATATTCAACACTGATGTTGTCACCTTATTGAGTAATGAAATGTGTGCAAGGAAATAACCAGGCTGAGACCACCAAGGACTCCAGAGGTATGTTTTTTTTTAAATCCCTCCTTGAGCTCTGTCAAGTTGCATCATTCCTAGCCATTGTCCCTATATTCCATTTTTGGACAAAGTGCTGTAATTTTGTTGATGATCAAGGTCCAGTTTAATCTTTCTGGATTATCTCAATTGCCTACCTAAATTCAGTTTATATTTTGTCTCATGCCAGAAAACTGACAAGGAAAAAGCATCCCAATTGGTTCTGACTGATTTCTTATCAACTTTCCTAATGGTATGAAGTTCCGCAGATGTAGGGAATAAAAAACTATTATTAATTGATAATTTATTTTATCCTTCAGGTTTCCCAGGTACAAACTGTGCAATGGTTTCAACTTCAGAACCACTATCTTTCATGTAGATCAGGGGTATCAAACTCACATCACCATGTGACATATTGGGATTTTCCCCTTTGCTAAACCAAGCATGGGCGTGGCCAGTGCATGATGCATCCGGCCTGTGAGTTTCACAGCCCAGATGTAGATTCTTACCAGCAAAGATGCTGATTTAAAAGCACTGCTTATATACTCCTGAAGCTGTACAAGCAATTAATAGTAACTGCTGCATGTTGGTCTAGCTGAAATTTCAGAATTATCTCTGTGGCAGACATATCACACAGTAGTCCAAAAGAGACTGGACTGCATCCCATTCCTAATGAGTGATACCACTGTCATCTGATCAGATGTGATTATAATCCTGTAAAGGAGGTGCCGATGTTTGAGATAAATCATTCCTAAATAGTCTTTTCGTTGTTTAATCAAATTATAACTTCAGTATTTTGATATCATTCAGAAGATGACACGGAAACAGATAAGAAACTCCACTCTTCCATTCAATCCTTTAAAAAATATGTATTTTCCTTAGACTTGAAACTGGTATCGCTAGAAATGTTATTGCCTGTATTCAGGTCCATTATCAGGGATAAGAAATCTGTGGTCAAAGCGTTGATGAACATCAATTCTAAGAATCCTTTCACTGATCATGCTAGCAGGGAGTATTGCAAATTGTGGATCAATCACATTAGACAATCATACAATCCCTATTCCTTATCTAGATGTTACTTTTCCTGCATATTTTCTTTAATATTAAATTAGGAAAACACAGGTTTGACATTCCCGAGAAGCTATTCCTCTTTCTAGTATATTTGTATAATTACTGCTACTAGTGCTGGGTCAAACCCAGCAATAGGGTAACTGTTCACAGACTGTGGTACTAGAGAACCTAACACTTATGGGATTCTGTTATTAATATCATTTTGTCTCTTATTAGTCAAAGAGCACTGCAATCATTCCTGTGTGTACCTAATAGCAGGTGCAACCATATTAATTGAATTATTTCTGACTGCAGGACCATGCCCCTTTGCTTAAAGTTAAAATGGTGCCGAATAAAAAAAACAGCTATGAAACTAATTGTTCTTGCAATCTCAATGGAAGAAAATTGTGGTAATCATCTGAGTAAAAAACATAAAATCTTGATCACTGCCTTCGTCCATAATTAGCATAACTAAATCCTAATAATGTTTTCAAATATTATAGTTTAAAATTAGCTAATATGTGACTCCATTATTGACAATAAGGATTAGAAGCTGAAAGATCTAACAAGTTTTTAAAATATTTTTATTCTTATCAACCAACAGAAAACATTGCACTATACATAAAATTTATCAGTGGTTATTACAATCCATTATCTCTTACCTCTGAAGTACATGGTCTGTTTTGATTGGGCAGCATATTCCTTGATGTCATTTCTGATTTATACAGAATTCTGGATATTGTTTTTTTAATCACATATTGAATTCCAACTATTACTTAACACTGTAATGATAAATCCTATAGGTATTTATGTTGCAATATTCCACATTTTAGAATTGTTTCCATATCCTGAAAATTTGGATATAAAATAGGGACAGCTTCAGGGCAGAAAAAACTTTTGCTTCTTGTTAACTGAAAGGAGCCGAACACTTGCTAATGTAGGAACTGAACCACCTTTGAGGTGGCCACTCCCTCTGTGTAAGTAAAATCACCTTAGTAACATGATGAAGTACCTAGCTAGGGCTATGCACATGTGATTTGCTGCAGTAATCCAAATCTGCTATACTTGTACTATCAAGTTGTCTGTTTCAACAAGTATTCCATAATCTGGGCAGTGTACTAGGGAATGAAAAGTCTTGATCATAACTCCATGTAAATATTTACTCAGCACTATGAAGAATGAAGGGTCTTACTGCTTGTTTTCTGTTCTTTCCCTTCAATACCAGCAGTAATTATATCTAATTTAATTCACATTGACTAAAATGGACCTATCTCCCTTAGTCTGTATACTTGACCAAACAGAAATGAATACCAACCAATGTTAAACACAATATTCTGGTTCCTTACAGCATGATCAGTATGTATTTATTTAATTCCTGAACAAAATCTTGCAGAACTCTTAGCAGTGTTGAAAGGAAAATCCATCGGGTTCAGTTCCAAGCTGGGAAAAAGACGCTGGAAACAACATGGAGGCTGATTGGAAAGAAAAATTATTGATGAACAGAACCACACACAAAGACAACATGAAGTTCTGGATCAGCTGAACAAATGGCTGATCTTTATAGTTTCTGTAGCTTTGAAGTTTGGGATTTGTGCAATATGGGCTTTGGGTTTCTAAAAGGGTATTGGGCAATTTCTATTTTGGCTAATAGCTTTTATCCTGTGTTGGATCTTGGGTGAGGGGCTGCTTGTTCTAATCCTATCTTTCTGCTTTTGTTAGCTGTCAAACTTTGCTGGAAGGAGTTTCAAAATATCCTGTCTTGAATGGATTTCTGCCTGCACTAATTGCTTTGCTTATGAATGGAGCCATCTAGATATTTGGCTTCTTCTTTCAATAAGCTCTTTATCTCCTTAAGTGCTGGCATCTGCTGTGGGCTACTAAGAAAGCCTGGGGCAGGCTTTCTGTCTCTAAAAAACATGTTCCTTCTTTTCTCCTTTAGGGAAATACAATATTCTACATTTTTTAATATTTACCAAAATATTTCAATCTTCTGGGAGAGGGGTTTCCCACAATAGATTTCAGGAATACAATAATAATTAAAATATCATGGTCAGTATTGAGATATACGTATACATATACTACTAAAAACATATGCAGTAAACCAAAATCCCAAACTCTCTCTGGAAGGCCTCTCTTATCAGCCAATTTGAGGAAGCAGTTTGCATTCTAATCTAGAGGACTAGTGCTGCCATTGGGAAAATTACAGTGGCAATTCTAAGTCCAGCCTCCCTCATCACATGAAAATGGGAATCTACTAGCTGTTTACCCAGCAAGACTTAATTAATGAGGCCAATTCTAGTGGGCAAATGCAGTCCTGAAAAATAACTTGGTGCTAAACCTTGGGTGTTATAGGTTAAAACCAGCACTTTAGAAGTCTATGGTGGAAGCCAGGGCAGGATTCAAAGTAAAGGTGTAATAAATACTACTTGTAGAGCCACCAAATCAACTTTTTCTCTTATCAAGTAGAACCATTCATTTTAGAAGCAGAACTACTGCACAACAGTACCACCAATTCCCAATTACTGTCAAGAAGTGTACCAAGGTCACTAACAATGAAGGCCACTGAAAGATCTAAAAGAACTAAAGAGAGGCATATTATCCCATCAATTATATCAAACAAAACTATCTGTCCTATGCTCTGACTGACAAGGGTCCAGAAAATCTGTTTCATTTAGTATGCTTTGCAGTTGATTTGTCCTCATTGTCTCAAAAACCTTTGTTAGTAAAGAAGTGAGGAGACCAGGTAGTAGTTGTCTAATCTCTCCTGATCTAGATTCTAGAATGTCTTTTAATGAGGGAGCATACCAAAGCCTCTTTTAAAACTATCAGCAGTGGCTTCTCCTATAAGGTCCTAATAATTTCTCAAATATAGGAATTATCCCCCCTCCAAATGCTTGAAAAAGCCAAGAGGTACAACAATTCTGCCTCCCTGTAGCAGGGCATCCTAAAGAACATTCAATCTACTTTCCCAAATCATAAACCAAAAAGGAATACCAGATAACAAGGGAGACAATTTCTTACTCACTAGTGCTGCATGCTTCAGGGATAAGGCGATAAACAGTTTGAAGAGGGTATAGAACTTGGTAGTAATGCAAATATTCAAACTTCAAATTGGCTACTACCTAGACCATTCCTGAGATGTTAACAATGGCTACTATTTATTTGTTGATTTATAACACACTAATTTTTTACTGCTCAAGATGATATTTGTAATATATCCAGAATGTAGATTACATCCAATGTAGATTAGAACACTATATGGAAAATGAAATTAGTCATTGAAACTCCAAAGAATATCATACAGAAGCAACTAAGTGACACAAGGCAGAAGAACAGGATAAAGAGTATTGATGCATTTGAATTTTGGTGTTTGAAAAGATTCCTGAGAACACTGAGAACAGCCTAGAAAAGAATTCAGTGCCTCATCAAACAAATTAACTGAGTTCTCGCTGAAGGTCCAAGTGATAAGACATGTAAAGACTTAATTTAGAGAAGGCTGTAATGCTGGGAAAGGTGGAAGGAAAGAGGACAACCAAGCAAAGTTGGTAAGACATAGTTAGTGGCAATTAGTGCACATTTAGCAGACTTAAAAGACCAGTTTAGGAATAGGTTAATATGGAGGAAATATATGCGATCACTAAGAGAACACTGACTTCATAACACATATTACATCTCATACCAGAATTGTCAATAAAAGTAGTTAAGGAATACAAGTACAAGAGTTCAACCACATCCATTCCCAGCTTGTAGGCTTTTCACAGCCATATGACTGGTAGATGAAGAACCAAAATATTCAATTAATCAGTTTGGTGTGGGTCTTCTTATGAACTTAATCCAAATGATACACAGGCTAGATGTGCTGTGCTAGTTGTAGATTAACTATAATCTTCTGATTAAATTTCAAATTACCTAGGGTTGCACAATACACTTAAGCTTCTAATTGTATTTACAAGCAACATAGCAACATTCATGCAATTCAGTAAGCCAAAGCCAACTTCATTATTAATTAGTAATGTTTTGTGAATCATGCTAAAAATTGTTTAAAGCCTGAACTGAATGAAGCTCATAATCTACTGACATAATACACTTCTGGTCACACACACATTTTCATTTTAAAAATTCAATTTAGGGCAGTGGAAATTATGTTTAATAATACTATTGTGAAATATTTTTGTTATTGACATTTCTGTCAGTTAAATAATTGTTGAGCTGTTCTCTCAGTAAATCCAGAGATGTACTGTTGGTACTATAATGAATAGTAGCAGGAAGGACTTGATTTCAGCTCAAGTGAGGCTATTGTTAAAACTGCCACTTAAACCTTAAACGTCTGGGGGTTTAAAAAAGTGCACAAGGAAGGGGTTTGCTTTCACATAAATGTGTACAAGATTATACTGACCAATGGAAGGAAAATAAATCATAGCCTTAGCATTCATGCTTTTAAACTGAAATTGGTAAAAGTTTAAGCAATTTGCACTAAAAAAAAAACTGAAGAAAGGAAGAGGAAAACGAAGCTTATTTCTTGAAGTTACTCCTTATTGAGGTATGTGTAGCAAAACCTTCCCCCAAACCTTGGGCAGTCTTCCACCATGCGGAGATAGATTGTGGTTTAGTAATATCTGGTTTTGACCCTAAGTGTTACAACGTGTGGAACGATGTAGGATTCTTATCTATTAGCTTATTGCCTTTAAACTCCATCTCGATGACTTCGAAGAAGAGTCCAGACCTCCTCCTCTAAAAGCCAGCCTCACAACCGCCGTTCACCCATTTAGGGTAGCATGACGGCTTCCCACGTAACAGGAAGTTGGCTTGTATCTTCGCTTCACTCTGCTCGCGCCCGAGAGCCGTTGAAAGTGGCGGGGGAGAAAAAAAAATTAAACAGGGAGGTTCCGTTTCACGGTGAATCTCAGCTATGCGCGGTCACTGCTGCGACGGCTGGCAAGGGGGAAAAAAGTGAATCGTTCGTTACCCAGCGGGCTCTCCGCCTCGCCTCTGGGTAACAGATCAAACATTAATTTAAATATTTCATTCGGGAAAACCTTGTTTCTCCATTGCAGAACAGACTTAACAGCGCGGGCCTGTTGGAAATGAAAGTGCAGAGATTATAATAAAACAATTACAGACAATATTTGCAGTGGCAGCAGAGCTAGCCACCTTAATCTTGCATCTCCCCTCCCTCCCGGCTGCGTGGACGTCTGTAGTTCTGAAAAGTGGAAGTTTACAACAAACCTACAAATGCAGCCGTTCGCAGGTTATCGGTGACCGATTGGTAATTTTCCAGTCCCAAGCCTCCCAATTTTTGCACCGGTTTTGAGACGCGCTCACGCGATTGCACACACACACAAAACCAGCCTTGTGCCATCTAATTGGCAGGCAAATAGAACATCCAGCTGGTTGTTTGCACGGACTGCCAAAGAGACTGGGGAGAGAATCCACACGCAAATTTTAAATATATAGTGTTGTTGCCTGAATGTGGACGAATTTACAGGCCCGCCCACCAGCGCCAACATTAGCGACGTAATATAAAGATAGGCGACTCCATGCAATTTTTTTTTTCAGCAGTTCGCTCCCCTCCCCCCCCCAACTCCAAATTCTGGCAGTACAAAACAACGCCTTCATGACCGAGGACGCACGGGCGACGCTCCAAAGTTACTAGCGAGGAAGTCAGAGAAAGAGAATCGCGCAGCCGCCTCCCACAACCAGCAAAGACGCGACCGACTGTGCTCTTTTTTTTTTTCCGCCTTTCGAGACGGGACTCGAAGCCCCGCCCCGCTCAAGCTTCTCAAACTTAAGTTTCCAACGGGCAACTTTGACTTCCGCTTCGGGGTAGGGTGGGGAGCGCGGGGCCGAGTTTGCGCAGGAACCCGCCAGCGCGCGCTGCGCACGAGTCTCTTTTCCTCTCACCTCCCCACCCCGCTCTCGAGAGTCTATGGGCGGAGGAGTTTTCCAAGCGCCGGAAACTTGTCCGAAAGTTCCGAGAAACCCCCTCCGCTCACCCGCCAACTCCCCCCTCGCCCCACAGCGACCCGCCTGTTTGCCATCAGCAGCGCTTTTAACGGTTTCGACGTCGCGCAGAGTTGAAATTGAGGGAGGGGGCCATGTCCGGCGCCTCCAACGTCGCCGCTATGAAGAAAGTAGTGCAACAGCTGCGGCTCGAGGCCAGCGTGAGCCGCGTGAAGGTGAGCGCCGGAGTGGGGCGGAGACCAGGCCGCCCGTCCGTCGGAAAGCCTCGGCCGCCATTAGCGCACCTCGGGGAGGATGCTGCGTGGGCACTCGGTCGCGGAGCCGCCTCCGAGACTTTTACTTCCTTTCTCGGGCCTGAGGAAGAGTGCCCCGGGGCTTGTACAGAGTGCTTTTTCTTTTAAAGTACTTCTTTAAAGGGTGACCCTAGGCTAGGGATTCATGAGGGGTCCCCTCTTAGAGGGGTCGGCGAAATTGAAATTATTCGTCAATTTAGTTTCAAAAATCGGGCAACTTAAGGGAAGTAAATGCGCCAGTTTAAAGTTTAATACAGTAAATATCGATTAAAACTAATCCACGCAAACAAAAGCTCTTTGGGGTTTCTCCATAATTTTTAAAGGTGGGAAAGGATCCCTAGAGGTAAAAGTTGAAGAAACACTGGCCTATGAAATGCCGTACAATTTAACTCCGGTTTAAGCCACAAGTGTGTGCAGCCCCTCCCTGCCAAGGCAAATTTAGCCCGGCTGCTCTTGGATTTTATCATAAACACATTTTATGATGTATGGAACCCCTCCCACCCCAAAAATCGTATTTTCCCCCAAGCTGTGGGAGTTGGAGTGAGGGCACCGTGTTGCCGAAGTCGGTCCCTGTCGCATAGTCCCGTTTTCCGCTTGGATCAAGTTTTGCTGATTCTGATCCTTTTGCGGGTTCGTTTTTAGGGTTTCCCCGTTTAGGTTTGGGATCGCTGTGAAGGAAAGGACGCAATTTGTCATCTTGATCTAGAGCTTTACTCTTCAGAAGAAAAGAATAAATGCCATCTGGCAAACACAACTTGGGACTCCACCCTTGTTGCAAAATGGGGAGTGAGTTAGGAAAAGCTTTTGGAAGGAAGAATTCTTTGCTAGGTTTTGCTTTTCAAACCTAAATCAGAACATTCTTCATTAATTAGAAACGATTGTAATAATGCAGCTTGCCCTCAAAACCTGAATTGTAACACATTTGCTTTCTTCATTAATCAAGAAAATTCATAATAAAATAATACTACTTGCTAACACACCTGAGACTTAAGCATCTGAGACCCTTCCATTCTTTTACAAGAATTCTGAAGAGCAAAAAAAATGTCACATTTGACAATAGCCAAACATGGCTTTTAATATTGAAAGTTAGCTTGTTGAGCTGAACTTTTAATATACTTTAGTAAACTGACTAAATTTTCATTTGATGTTCCATCGAGAACAATATGTTCTGGAACAAATATTGCAGTCTCTGATTATTACTTTGGGATAGTCAGGAAATGACATACAACACCTGCAACTGTAAAAGACGTTATTTAAAAGCTGGGGATATTAAAAGGCTGAATCTGGAAGTTATATCAATTAGCAGGAATCTTATGAGATTCTGGGGGATTCCTGCCATTGACGATAAACATGGTCTGGTTGTGAAGATGTTTTTGTATGAAGATAGGGTATGCATTTGACAATTCCAAATGTTCTTACATACTGTTGATGGGATAATTTTGGACAATTTTATAATTAATCTACTGTACATATAGTCTTTGACTTATGATCATAATTGAGCCTGGAATTTGAGTCATAAGTTGTTGCAGTCATAAATTGAGATATCGTGTAGATTTGAAGTTAATCATTCTTCTATAGTTGTTAAGCAAACGCAGCAGTTAACTTGGGTGTCAAACTGGATTTCAGCATTGTAGTTGTCCTCCATGAGTCGGCCGGTGGGGAGGGTGTTGGAGACGGGGAAGATGCTTCATGCAACACTGCTGGTTAAAATGTGGCACAGGAATGTGTGGCTCCCCTGTGCTCTATTTTGGTTGCCAGAGCTATAGGAAGCCATCCAGGCCCAAAATGGGGCACAGGAGGGCCATGCACGGCCTCCCATGCCCTGTTTTGGCTGCCAGAAGCACTGCGGCCCAGTCCTTTGCTATTTCCGGGCTGGCCCAAGAGCCTTGAATTTGACACCTCTGAGTTAACTGAATCCATTTTTCCCAATTAGCATTTTTTGCCAGTATCTGGAAATAAACATGAGAAACTGGCAAAAAACAAATTTTGATCACATGATCCCAAGATACTGCAAACGATTGTCAAGGTTGGCTCAAAATGTGATACATGACTATCTGCAGCTGCTGTAACTGCAAAAATTGTAAGTAGCTCTAGGTAGGTCAGTTGTAACTTTAAATGGTATCAAATTATTGATTATAAGTTAAGGCACACCTGTATAGTCATTGTCACTTTTTTGATGTCTGAGCAGTTTCAACATTTGTTATTTCAATTATTACATTGTGTAAATGTGATTTTCTGTTCATAGGTTTCACAAGCTGCAGCTGATCTGAAGCAGTTTTGCCTTCAAAATGCACATCATGATCCTTTATTAACAGGAGTTTCATCAAGTACAAATCCATTCAGACCACAGAAAGTCTGTTCTTTTCTCTGATTTGGTGAGCCACTAGAATCTTTCTCTTGTAAAGCTTTATAAAGTTAACTATGACTTCACTTTCCCTAAAGCAGGGGTAGTGACCTCTGGACTTTTTCCCCCTTTGTAATCTTACACACATTGTTGCTTGGTCAAAGTTGTTAAAGTAATCAGAAATTCTGTTTCTGGAAACAGGAAATAAGCACAAAATAAGTAGAGAGGCTTATTTTTTTAAAAAAAATTCCCCCACATCTCCTTTAAAACCTAGAGAATCATAGTCTGATTTATGTGTCTCCTAAAAGGCATTAAGTGTTGGTCTTTCTAGCCATCCAAAGGTTGCTACCCTTGTCCTCAGGTTTAGTAGTTCATGACTTATCCTTCAAAATATATCAAATGTTTCCTGTAAGCTGATTTTATACAGGACTTCTAGGAAGTAAGTCCCTCTTTATTTAGCACTTAACTTCCTTATAAGTATCAGATTGTATCATAAGTTTTTACTTAAATTTGTAGTTAACGAAATATCATTTTTATTGAACGATACATGACCAGTATTTCACAATTTATTACAATTTTGAATACTGAAATATAGTCTTTCACAACAAAGTTCATTCTTATTTAAAGAGGTAAAGAATCCTGGATGTTCCTGGTTTGCAATAACTACATACCAAATACCTGTAATATTTTATAATAAGTAGTTGGAAATGGCATTCTACTAGGAAGTTTTTCCCCCTAATCTAGTCTAAAACCCTGGGATTTCCTGGTTTCCCAATCAGATGGTATCCAGGTTTAACTGTTTAAGCATCCATCAGGCTTGGCTAGGTGCCATCACCTGATCTCTTATAGAAATTGAATATAAGTAGTCCTTGACTATGACTATTTGTTTAGAATCATAACTGATGATGGCACTGAAGAAATGGTAGTTATGACCAGGTTCTTGGACATTTGGCTCTCCGTGTTTCCATTATCATGGGATTGTAATTTGGATACACTGTAAGATTCACACTGAAGCAGGAGCAGTTGGAGCTCCCTGCAATAATGTGATTGTCATTTGCAACCATTACTGTCAGCTTCCCCAGAAGGACAATGGGGAAGGCGACAGGGAAGGTCACAAGGCATTGAGGCCAGCCTTCTCCATTTGTGCATCCTCCCTCAGCTTGCGCTGACCACTTGTGCATGTCCTTTCACATTTCCCAACCCATGCTGCACCTTGTTCACTCCTTGCATTCTGCCTGACCTGTGCTTTTGTGGTCCCTGTCCAACCCACAAAACAGCTCCATGCACCCTTCCCAACCTGCACCTCTCACACATAGCCTAGTCCCATCTTCCTTGATCTGCATCGTGTCTGTCGTGTGTCCCCTTATGTGCCCCCTCCAACCTTCCCCCATCAGCGGTATCCACTTATCTGCCTGATGGCCTGGTTGGTCTTGTAGGTCCACTGACTTAGCTGTGGGAAGTCAGGAGGTATTTGCCTCAGCTAACCACTGTGGGATTCAGTTAACCATAGCAAACTGGACTGCAGAGATTGCCATCATTAACTGATGCAATTGTGTTCTCCAACATCACTTAGCAATGGAAATTTCAGTCCCAATTGCCATTGTAAGTCCAGGATTATGGGCAATTTGAACCCTGGTAGCGGTTTTTATACAATGTGCCCATTTTGAATTTCATGATTCATTGGTTTTCTTTAATTGTCCTTTTATGCCATCAGTTAACAGTTTTCTGGATGGTATTTTGTCACCTCTATTGACCTCTGCTTCTAAGTTTCCTGGCAGACCAAACATATCCTATGGTCTATTTTTTCTCACATATCTTTAAAACTCTGACAATTTATTTCAGACTTTACATTATTGGGAAACATAATGAAAGGTGACTATTATACCTAAATCTACTTAGAAACAAATGATATAATCCAGCAATTTTATAAAATATTGTATATTATAGTTATAATATACTTTATAATATTTTAAATGGATAATTTTATATGAATACAATTTTTAACTGAAAGTTTTTTCTTTATACCAAATTAGGTTGTACATTAACAATTTAATCTTTAGTGAATAACATCTTGGCTTTCTTGTATTTCAGTGCTACCTTTTTTGTTCCCAATTACTTTTTTCCATGTAAACCTACTACAAAACTGTGTTATTTTGGACAATGACTAGAATAGAGATATCCTGTTTTTGTTTGATATGCAATCATCTCAATCATACAAAATCTCCTTGAAGATTAGCTTATTATTCCCCTTTCCAATTAAATAAGAAATATTCCTCCCATGAGGACTGAACAAATATATAAAAATATGAATTTGAGTATTCACTTATTACTGAATAGGACAATAATGGAGGTGGCACAATCTCATGTTTGTTGTTTTTAAATAAGCCCTTGCTGAATATTCTTAAAGATTGGAATTACATTAATGCCTCTTTATGGGATTTTGTTAACAGCAATTTAAAAATTATGTGGTCACTATGTAAAACATAACTAAGTATGCTCATCCTGACCTAAAGTAGTATTGGACAACCCAACAAACTGAAAGCATTTCTGGTTTGCTGAAAAGAAACCATTTTGGCTGATACTTTGACCATTTTTCCCATATGGACTGTCTTCCCCTTCTAATTTGTTCCTTGGTGAAGTAAAAATGAGTGATTCTGTAAAAAAGCATGGAATAACTCATTTTCTGTCCCCATCTCTGTCTCTGAAATACACATCTACACAAAGGGGAATTAGGAGCCCCATTCTGTGCTGTTTTAGTGTCCTCTCTCTTGGTTTAGAAGCCAATAAAGGGAGTAAATAAGTTTAACCACAATGTAATGTTCATTTCTGTTAGCTTGCATTATAAATGAACATGGCCAGAAACTGATTTCTGTGGCTTATATTGATTTGTTGTATTGTATTGCAAACTATTAAAATTTTGTCATAAGTTTAAACATTTGAATGTAAGCAACATACAATTTAAATGTTATGCTTTACTTTGTTCAACAAGTTTGTGTACTCTATTTCTTGCAGACCTAACAACTTTTCCTAGCTGATTATGTTGAATATGGAAATGAAACAAGATGGCTTGGAACCTGTACAGAAACTTTGTATTAATGTGCCAACTTTGAGCTTGTAAAATTGCTATTGTTTCAAACCCCTTTAAAATCTACCTCTCTAACAAGCTGTATGCTAGTTGCTATTACTCTATCCTGAGGGAATCAATTTTATATTCAAGCAATAAAGGGTTGACATGATTTTGAACGTTAGCGTAAAATATTTGAACTTGTCCTAATACTCTGAATTGTGTATCCAAAACTTCACTTATTCTAAAAATATTGTAAAAGTTAGTGCATTTTGTAAAAAATATTCCTGCTTTTCCAAAACAATAGCATCTTTAAACAAATTAATGGTTTACAGTCAATATAGTTCTTGTTCTTTCTACTTTAGTTATTATGTAGTCATAACTAATTTGGAGTAAGCTGTATTTGCCTCTAGAAGCATCCTAAATTGTGAATATCCTTCTATAAAACTAAATAAATACATGCCTTGTTATACACTATTTACCAATGTAATACAATTTTGTTTCTTTTCTGTTTTACATCAAGCTAGAGTGGCATAAAATAGTCAAAAAAGAAACCAAAAGATTAAAATTGATTACTAAATACATAACATAGAACAATATTGTGTAGATTTCTAAAAGTTTCAAAACAAACTCTGCATAATCTTAAATAACTGGCTGTATAGTTTTTTTTATTTATAGGTGCCTAATTATCATGCCTGACAGGTGAAAGCAAGATCTGAGTTAACCAAGCTATCAGTTTATATTAAGTGCAGAGATGATGCTCAGTTGAGTATCATATTTGTCTGAAACAATTATTCTGTGGAGACCATTGATTTAATTTTCTGGCCTCTCTGAGGTGACTTTTAAGGTATAGTTCAGTTTTTTTATCTTCTTCTTGTGCTATATCCGTCATTAGACGTTGGCAATCCTATTTTTATCAACAGCTGCACAAAAAAGTGTAGAGCAGGATAGAAAAGATGTAGCATCTGATAAGCCTGTTTTTCAATTTTAGGCTTATGTCATGACTGCAGACCTTTTTCATTTTGAAGAATGCTGTTCAAGCTTTCTTTATCCTTGTTTTTACTTCAGTGGTTACATTCCAGCTTTCATGTAAATTAGAATTGAGGTATGTGGTATTCCTTGCGAAGTTATCAGTGGTAAATTAATGAGTAGTTTGCTGACAACCATGATTTTGGTTTTTTTTAGTGTTAAGCTTCAAGCCGTATTTTTCAGATATTTCTGTGATATTGATGAGGAACTGAAGTGTTATATATAAAATCTTTTTTCTTTATATATCTGGGGGTCAATTAGTGAAAAAATGGAGAGTATAGTTTACCATTGTGTCCAAACTAGAAACGGCTTTGTTGTATCTACGTGTGTAAACAAATATTAATGCATATAAGATTAATCTGTAGATTAGAATTGTATATGAACTGAGTAATATTGGTCAGATTACATTCAAGAGAACTTTGGTTTTCTTTCACTCCTTAAGGAAGCCCTGTAATTATAGATGGCAGAATTTCCATTATCTCAAGTTTCATTAAGATGGACAAAAAAACCGGGGTATTTTTTATCCCTTTAAAAAATAAGATTTCCCATTTATTTCTTGTATAGGCACTTGTCAGAATATTTCAGTTCCTTATCTAATTTTAAAATAACACTCATTTAGCTTACTGAAGGTCAAATAAACAATAGTTTGTATAGCCACTACATCTGAAATTGTAGTTATTTTTCTACATTAATCAACTATGCTTGAATACTTACCAATATATGGTAATAGTATTTGACATGTAAAATGTTTATTTTTGGCAAATAATATATTCAACACAAAACCTTATTTTAAGATCCAGAACTAGATACTTTAATTCAGAATAAGATATGAAAGAATTAAATTACGAAGCATTATTTCTAAGAAGGATCCATGACTTCTTAATAAAAGGAGATAGTGGCTGATGCAGTCTCTTTCCTCTTACTTGAAGTCTTCTGTTATTATAAAAAGTAACTGAATTTTCAGTCCTGAAAAGAATACGGTCATGGCCATGTTCGCAGGGGTGGGGTGTTCCATGTGTAACCTGAATATCTTCAAGGGTATTCCAGAAGCTTTGTGTTGATGTGATAAATACAAAAATGGCATTTCTGTGTTCATTCTTATAAATGAAATTTTCTTCGGCTTGTGTCCATTTCACGGCGCTGAAAAACAGCAATGTTCATTATAGTTTGCTACAAAAATATAAATATGTGTAAATTACTGTAATATAATTCAGATTATGGAGCAATAAGCTAATACCAAATTATAAGGTTTTTAAGGCATGCCTGGAATGAAAGTAATTACAAGTTAATATATCACAGCAAGCTTAAATCAGCCTAGGATCCTTACACTTCTTACTGCCAATCAAGAACATCTGTTAATAAAGATTTATTGGACATGATCTTAAGCACACAGGCAGTCATCAGACTTAAACACCCCTTCATCTAGGGATATTCCCGTTTTCTGACAATCTTAAAGCCTTGAGCTCAAATAGAAATCTTTTTAGTATGTAAGTGCAAAAGCTTCATTTCTCTCTCCCTCCACACCAGCTTGCATATTTACACAGAATTCTTATTTGATCTGGTTTGATAACCTGTTTTGAAATCTTATTTTTCCAAGTAATTTTAAATAAGTAATTTTAAAATGCACTGTGTGGATACAATACTCCCTTGAAAACAGTATTATTGTAAATAGGCAAGGCTCTCTGACTATATTAAAGGCTGTCTGAACGTTCACAGCACTCTGTCCTCTGTTCATTTTCAATTATATTTTGAATATTTTTCTTTTGACATCTGACTGCATTGTGGCACAACAAAACTATTTTTGAAGGCTAGTGTCTCTAATATAGGTGGGGCATGTGCCAAAAATAACTTATACTGGTAACAAAATTATGCTATTCTTTAGATGCAATTACTGTATCTAAGGTTACCATTTTTGAGTGACTTTATTAATAAAATCATTATGGAAATGTTGATGTATCAAGTATTTAAAAATATCTCAATTATAATAATAGGTAGTGAGAACATGAGAATAATTCTACTGGATCAGACTGAAGGCCAGCTAGTCAATATTACATTTCACTGAATGCCCACCAAATAAAATTCTAGGCAGTACTTGATTTACAGCCATTTGTTTAGTGAGAGTTTGTGAAGTTAAGACACTGCAAAAAGTGACATGACTGGTTCTCACATTAACTATTGCAATATTCCCAAACTCACAGGATCAAAATGTGTTTATGGCAGTTGCAGTGTACTGTTGTCCAGTGACTGCTATTTATGGCCTTCCCAGCCAGCTTCCAACAAGCAGTGTCAATGGGGGAAGATGGATTCACTTAACAATTATGTTAATGACCATAGCAAAAAAAAAAAAAAGACTGTAAAACTGGATGCAACTTTTTTAATGACCACCTTGCTTAGCAACAAAATTTCTGATTCCAATTGTCATCATAAGTCGAGGACTACCTTGGAATGGAATGTATTGCCTTTGGAGAATGAGAAGAGTTTCTGCCTAGAAAATAACCAGACGAGATACAGGAGCTCTCAATGACTTAATGGTCATAGAATGACATTTAAGGACCCGCCCTACTTGATCAAGTAAAACTGGTGGTACACTAACAGAATTAGAAAGGTTCTGTTAATGTAATCTTAAAATAAAGTAGAATCAGTTCATCTAGTTGTGTTTCCTATGTGGTTTACTTGAGAGGGCTGACAGTAGATTACCTTGCAAAGAGGAAATCAAACAGCCTTCAACTGCCACTCATCTCCACCAAATAATGTATATAGGCAAGACTGCCCTACAAGCAGCATCCGCTATTGGTCACACATATAAGAAATTTGTAAGGAATTATTTAACTGCAAAATTTAGCCAAATAGCAGAATATAAAATTATGCAATGCTTTGTTGAGAGATAATACCTTGTGAATCCATTCATATTCCCCAAACTTGGAGTCAAAAGTTCCTTTTTGAAGAGACCTTAATTTTAGAGTAAAACGTGGGCCTAGTTCTTGAATGGCCACTTTTTTCTCATTTTTGAAGATGTATCTGTTAAAGATAATACACAACATTAGCAAAGCTGTCGTGCAAAAATCACTTTTAGTATAAATGTTCAAATACTTGCTTACCTATGAAATCTGAAAAAGACATAATCTCGCTGATTGTGAAATGTAGCTACTTGTCTGCCAACAAAGTGAGGATCATGAGGAAAGAGAGAAGCCAGCATGCGGCCAATGGAATGGCCCAATCGTGTTGTAAAGTTATTCAGGATTATTTCAGGCTGATGTTCTGTGGGATTTTTCCCTTTTCGCTAAAAGTTAAATGATAAAAACATTGTATTAAATGTTAACATTAACAAGCAGAGAAATTGATTATTGGAGTAAACTCACCTTTATTTCTTTTCGTAAACGAACACTGCTCATCCTAAAGTGAGCAGTTGGACCTTCAGGCAAATGACTTAATACAAGCCCATCTATTTCAAGTATGTTAAGATATAATTAAAGATGTGAATTATAATTAATGCAATTTATGCAGAAAACATTTTCCAGAAAATCCATACTGTAAAACAATTTTTGTACTTTGTACTTCATGTCCAGCTTCAGGTTTAATAAACATGCCATATAAAACATGCCATACAAAAACAAGTACTAAATCCCTTCTCTTCTAATCCAACTGTAAATTTGCTGCTCTAATAGAGATGTGCATACAAATAGCACTACATACTGTTCTTGAAGGATACTTGGTATTTTACGATCTTCATTGATAACAATCAAATCTGTAAAATCCCTTGAAATACACTGTGGAATAATCTTTTTTAAAGCCAGTCCTCTTCTATAGTAAACATGTGAATTTGGAATACACGTGGATAACTGTTCACAGAATCTCACAGTTCTCTGCAAAAACAGAAAAAAGTTCAAGTATAATTAATATCATAATTCATAAGTTTACCAATGACTATCTCAAACAATTTTGGCCATAATACAGCATCCAGACAATTTAAAGCAATGGTGACTGATTGCTATATAATTATTAAATGTTTACTTTTCATTGTATCTTACCCACACACAATCTATTTTACAAAACAGTATATTATAGCTAATATATTCCACAATCCATATTTTAAATATATTTATATTCCTCAATCAAAGCAAATTATCAACCTTAAAAAGTTAATTTACCCCACGAGGTCTGTCAGATGTAGTGATAAGAATTTTTGGAACAGTTTGCCTGTTGAAGTAAGGAGCAAATTCATCTGTAGCGTCATCTAAAGTAACCTGGGAATATATAATAATGATACTTGTATGAAATTGAGGGGATATAGTCAATTTGCAGGAATCAGAGCCCTCCATCTAATGAAAATAAAAATCAATAGCTCTGTCATCATTTATAGTTACAATATCTAAGTACAGTATAACCCCTAGACTTAAATACAATCTTGCATCAAGCCCTCAAAAAATGAAATTTACATTTGTCTAGGG